AACCAATTAAACAATTAATTAATTAATTAATCAATGAACTTTTAAAATGTATAAAACTAAATATTAAATATTTTATGATAAAATCAGTTTTCCTTCACTAGTGTCGATGGGTAATAAAAAAAACTTTTGAAGAAAAATGTAAAAAAACGAAACAAAAATTAACCAAAACTGATCGTTTCAAATTTTCTCTTTAAATATTCTTTAGATAATTTTTTAGTACATTGTAAAGATCCCAAACAAAATTCAAAGAATGAACCAAGTTATTGCCAATCACATTTAACTTTTAGGGACTCCGGTTTACTTGAAATAGTACTGTACCTTTAATGGTCTAGGCTAAAAGACTTTCATTACATACATTACATAGAGAGCCTGTAAGGAAAATAAAAGCCCAGTTTATGAGCCTGTTAATTGTATTTAGCAAATGAAAAATTGTTAGTTCGGTAAAAATTATATCGAATAATTTATATTCCCAGAAACCTGGGTTTAAACAGAAATTTGTCCAGGGCAGCTTAACCTTTCCCAATTTTCCTAGGGAAGGAAGGGAGGGGTTAGAAGGATGGAATTGGTTTGAATAAAATGTTAAACTTCCTGGGTATTATTGAGCAAATTTAAACCAATACCGTGTTGAATCCTTTATATGTGATGTATAATGGGCGTCACGGACATTAGTGTAATTACTTTTCATTGATCAGATTCCAATATAGTATATATACAGTCATCTGTATCCTATACAGTATATAGACTACATAATAAACTGTGTATGCTACAGGACCAAGTTGCATCTCCCCCCCCCCNGATAAACGAACCGAAAACGATAGTTTTCACATGTTTTTCAGAACTCAGAATTTTAAACATTTTAAATCAGAACTGCAGGATTAAAATGCAAAAAATGCGTTCATCAATTTTCAAAAGTTGCTATTGTGGATATGGAGTTTAAAGTTGTACCTATAGCGCATAGTTTAGTTCTATCTCAACCAAAAGGTATGGCCTCTGCGGAAAGAAGAATCATGAACGGATTAAAAGATTGAACAAGGACACGAGGAATAGATTAGAATTCTGCAAACCATAGTCATTCTCATATACAGTCATACAGACAGATAATTACCCCCCCCCCTACCCTACCCTACTTTACTCACCCTAACCCCCTCTCCTCTTTCTTTCAGTCTATCAAGAACATTATTTGTTAGGCAAATTAAAATTAGATAAAATTAGAATTTTAGAGATGTACTCAACCACACGGCAAATTTGAGAAGCAACATTCTTCAGTCATATTTATGCTTACTAGACATTTAGGGCGCTTCGCGTCCAATTTTTATTTCAATTGTGAACATTTTTCTTTGTGTACAGTGAAAAAAAGTTGCGGATTTTATTTAAAAAAATCATGGATTTTCAACATTCAATGAAAATTGAATTTTGTTGGAGGCAAATTTTTGAAACTTTGATCATCTCAGTCGCACGCAAAATTTGGGCCCGATTGGTTCAGCCGTTTATTGGATACAAACAAACAAACAAGCAAATGACAGTCAAAGTATATACAATATATATAGATTTATTGTGTATATTTATTTAATCTTCATTAGGTAGTTTGCTGATTGTGAGAAATAAACCTTAATACATGGGACTAGCGATCTTAAACTATTTGGATGCTAATTTACTTAATTTCGTATCGCAAAAACTGCGAACATCATTCAAAGAGTAGAAACAATAAAAATGTGTATCATGATTAACATCTTCTTTAATTATTTTAATTAAAAATGTAATTGAAGATTTCTTAATTTATAATTGATTTAATCCTGAAAAGTGCCGTGAGCTGTTGAAGAAATATATCATTTATAACAATTAAAGTTTTCAATACCTAAAAATAACAATTAAAGAGAGGAAAGACAACAAAATCATTTCGCATGTAGTTCGTTAGTTGTGCACTGTACTGCAGTTTCAGTGAAAATTGAAAAATAAGATGTATAAAAATGTGTTCAGCAGTATAAAGAATCTCTAGGTCTTATACTTGATGGGAAACCTTCCATGAAACTGATTTTCAAAAACAAATTTAAATACAGTATTACCCGCAAAAGATGAGGATTTTTTACAACTGCACGGAAACTATTTTTAGTGCATTTTTAACCTGAATCAATTCTTCACGTAATTATTAAGTTTATACTTTAAGTACGTTCAAATTCCAATTTAAGTTGATTTCATTTCGAGAGCTCAAGGTCGTCATCCAATCTCTCGTACTTTGTGGATATCCCTATATATATATTTATTAAAAGTTATTAGAAAGCAAGGAAGCGACAGGATGTTTCAATAAACACGGGAATTGAGAGACGACTTGAAAGTCGTCTCTGATTTCTGATATTTAATGCATAGCGAAGCGAGTTAAAAAAAACAAAGCTGTACGTCTGGCAAGCTTTTTATAAAATTATCTACCTTTCTTGTGTCTTAAAAATTGACGAAGATATTAGATATTAAGACCATTTTGATTTAGTAGGTTGTGTTCGCGAAAATATTTGATGGTGATTGCTACTAATCTTACTTCTATCTGTTGCGTCTATGAGGAGAAAATTGTTAAAAACGACTAAAACCATGGTGACGTGCATACAAATTCAGAAAGTGGCAACTTCCCAAGGGTATTGTCCCCAAGAGGCAACTTTCCCAGTCTGTCCTAGACGCAGTGCTCGGCCCCTTCATGTTCTAGCTGAGGCGCTTGGCCCCCTAGCCCATCCTAGCCGCATCGCTCGGTCCCATTGCAGCCTGCGGAGCCTTAGAGGGCCTAACCTAACTTTTGGGAAGTTGCCGCTTGGGAAATTGCACATTTGGGAAGTTGTCACTTGGGAAGTCGTCCTTGTGAAAGTACCTAACACCATTCAACTCAGATCGTAAAAAATCAACTTAATTCCAAACAAATCATTTAATATAACAACCTGTAATCATCGATTTTTTTTTCGACGCATTCATATACAGTTGATATTTCATAATATTTTTACTTTAATCATTATACACAGGAACCATAAAACAAAGCAACACAATTTAGGTTGATCTAAACTTAATTGTCGCATTAGAGAATTTTCAGCACACCTTTCAAAAACAATTATTAAGCTCTATATATGGACTTTACTAAAGTTAAATATGTATATTCCCTTCTTATAAGTTTTGTTAGTTAATTCATACCAATGCAGACCCATGAAAGACCAATAAAAGAACTACACGAATCTCCCACAAGAACTTTATTCAGTAATTGAGGGTTTATTGATCTAGAATAATACAGAGTTAATTGTAAATATATGGGATTTAAAAGACTACCAACAATGCTAAATGGAACAGCTACCTGAAAGTAACAATACTAAATAAAACAGCTACCTGAAAGTAACAATACTAAATGAAACAGCTACCTGAAAGTAACAATACTAAATGAAACAGATACCTGAAAGTAACAATATTAAATGAAACAGCTACCTGAAAGTAACAATACTAAATGAAACAGCTACCTGAAAGTAACAATAATAAATGAAACAGCTACCTGAAAGTAACAATACTAAATGAAACAGCTACCTGAAAGTAACAATACTAAATGAATCAGCTACCTGAAAGTAACAATATTAAATGAAACAGCTACGTGAAAGTAACAATACTAAATGAATCAGCTACCTGAAAGTAACAATACAAAATGAAACAGCTAACTGAAAGTAACAATACTAAATGAATCAGCTACCTGAAAGTAACAATACTAAATTAAACAGATACCAGAAAGTAACAATACTAAATGAAACAGCTAACTGAAAGTAACAATACTAAATGAAACAGATACCTGAAAGTAACAATACAAAATGGAACATATACCTGAAAGTAACACTACTAAATGAAACAGATAGCTGAAAGTAACAATACTAAATGGAACAGATAACTGAAATCCCTGGCAGTTAAATTAGATCTTTAACATTTGATCTGGTTAAGAAGGTTAATCATGTTAAATTATTTTAAGAAATTACTTTTTAAACTGTGTCAACCGTGGAATTTTGAATTCTTGGTAAATAAGATTATGTAAACATGTAAACTATCCTTTTACGCTGTACTTAAACCAACAATGTTCTAAAAAAAAAGTTTAAATGTATTTTCAATTCTTATGTTAATTGTATCCCCTTGTATTTAATGCTCCATGGCCGGAATTAATGCTTAAGTCATGTTTTCAATGCCTACGTCATTCATTATTATTTAGAGTGGTTACTGAAGAATCATTATAAAAACCTAGCTCTAGGCAGATACAAACAAAGATGTACTTTCCGGTGCACATACTTGGACAGTGAGGATCAGATAACACGAGGGATGAGGAGTGAGGAGGTCATCTTTTAATGGTCGATTTCATCATCAAGTAGATTCATGTGTATTGTCTTCTATAATATATCTACATACATAAAGTTGTAATCTCTGTTAGTATGTCATATAATAACTCAGGAACCGCTAGACCGATTGGCCTCAAATTTTGACACACATGAATGTTCTTAGATTGGTTTAAAAATTCTATGTGAGTGGGTTGAAATTTCAAGAGAAAGTTTAGGTTCCAGAAAAAGCTGGGTTCCAAATCGTTAGCATTGTAAATTTTTAAGGACACTCAAATGCAGTAAACGATTCAACATTCTTTAATTTACGAAGCTTGTCGTTTGCCTTTATCAGGAGAGGACAAATATTGGTCATTTTATTGTCTATGAAGTGTAAATCCTTGGTCTCATTGTATTGTAACTAAGTGACCACTGACCACGTTTTTAGAATCAGTAATTAAACAATTCCATGTCTGCGGTCAAATACAGTATATCTGAGAAAATATGATTTCTTTTGTAGATTATACATTAAAAAATTTTAATTTTCTGTCACACAATCCAAAGTGTTATACGCAGGCTGTTAGCATTTATTGTCACCTAAATATATTAGAATACATTACATAATGTTCTATATGTATAGATATATTAAGTTTGAAATGCTTTACAAGAATAAAACAGCAGGCAAAAATACAGGATGTTAAAAAATATATTTTACAAATTTACTGATGATTCGTAAACAGTTGATTTGACATAATTATCGATTTAAAACACAGAAATTGTATTAAAAGGAAGATTATCGTGGATTCAAATGTTGAAAGATCAATAAATAGATTTTAATTTGAAGATCGATTCAAATAATCTAGTTTCAAAGTAATTAAGAACTATTGTAATAAATCTATTAAATAACAATAATAGTTATAAAGCTTAAAGTTGAACCAAATCAGCTGGTGAAAAACAGCTGATTCCTTGAGTCCGCCATTTTAACTCCAAACATCAGCTGAATATCTCTTCTGTGTTTCCAACTTTTTTACATAAGCATCAGCATCAGAGTCAGACATTTTCCCGTACTCCTGTACAATTGATATAGTTAAACAATAGTTTTGTTACAATTATAGTATTTTGTGGTAAATAAGTCAGTGCCTAGGATTCGGATCCAGATTTATCCTATAGATCAGAAACATTTTAGATTTCTGGATTCGGATCCAGATATATCCGTTAGATCAGAAACATTTTGGCTTCCTGGATTCGGATCCAGATATATCCGTTAGATCAGAAACATTTTAGATTTCTGGATTCGGATCCAGGAATATCAACCAAAATTATCAACTGTTAAAAAAACTGTTTGCACTCAAAACGCAAATATCAACGTTTAAAAATGAGAGATTATTAAAGATATCCCACGGGGAATGATAGTTCTCTACCTGTGTGCTCAGTTAGCTGTATTGTACACTTACAACTGTTTACTAATATTGATATACTATAGGTCAGGCTAGATTCAACTTATAAATAACAAATATGCAGTACGCTCTCGGTATAGTTTATGGCCTATAAAATTAGTAAAGGGTAAGCGTACATCATCACTCTGTACATTATAACCTCATTGAGATATCCTTATATATCCTTAAGAATATAAATAAGCGAAAAAATAAAAAAGTTACGTTTGTTGAAAAAAATCCATTATTTTCTGGGCGAATCAAGGATCCGGATCCGTATCAAAATAAAATGGATCCTAAGCACTGAAATAAAATATGAAATATCTTACTTTGCAAATTTGCTGAATGATATTCCTGACATCCTTTGCCATCATTTTAGCATCTCCACATACGTACAGATGGGCTCCCTGTACAGTAACAATATAAATTGTGCATAAAAATGTAGCCTTATAAATTATTGTTTATAAAATGTTATTTTATAAAAAAAAAGTTGTTGAAATCGTCATTTTTGGAATAGTATGATAACTCACAATATGTTATTTCCGCAAATTTAGACCATCAAAGATCTAATCAAACCATGAAGTTAAGAGAAAGTACACACAATGTAAACTTTAGAATTAATTGTATCTAATAACATTATAATCTAATTTAGTCTTTTACTATATCGGTATCAGTTTTGTTTTAAATGACATTTCAATTAAGACCAATAAAAAACTTGATGATTTTTAAAAAATTTAGTAAATTAACTTCCGTCATTTGACAAAATTGTTAACATTTACACTTTACTATTGATGAATCTTTATTACGAATAACTACCACGTTAAGACTACCATTAAAGGTATAATGACCAAGAATATGACCAAGATTTTTCCTAAGACTACGAAAATGACTATGACCAAGACTGAAAAAGGACTATGACCAAGATTATGACCAAGACTGTGACCAATACATAAACTAGGAGTTCCGGCCGATTGAACGGGTTTAGGCATTGGCTTATTACAACGATGGCGGTCTTGGGAATCCACATTGGGGATCTTAAACGATAATTTTTATATTATAAACTATTATAATGACGAAGACTTTGTCCATGATTATTACCAAAAATATTAACAAGGGCGTGACAAAAACAAAGATGATGACAAATATTATGACGAAGATTTTGACCAAGAAAATGAAGAAGAATATGACCAAGAATATAAACAAGGAAAAGACCAAGAATATAACCAAAATATTTACAAGCATGAGTCCAAGAACATGACCAAGAATATGACCAAGAATATTTCCAAAAATATGACGAAGAACATGACCAAGAATATGACTCAGAATATGGTCAAGATTATTACCAAGAATATGACTAAGAATATGACCAAGAACAAGATTATGAATGAGAATATGACCAATGACCATGTCTAAGACTAAGACAAAGAAGAAGACCAAGACCATGAGGAAGATGATCAGCTCTACCTGATCCAGTAGTTCCCAGACTCTCTCCCCTGTCTCCTTGAGGAGATGAGTCACATATTTCTTCCCAGCCTGGAACAAAAATATTGTTATTTTAATATTTGAGGAATTTTTATTTATTTATTTCTTTATTGTGGAAAAAAAGGACGAATTTAACAAATTGGAATATAAATATATAAAAAGTGTATGAATGAATTCGGAATAGTTGACTATATAGCAAAATGAATAAAAGGATAAAGAAATGAATGAATGAATGAAAAATTAATAATAGGATAGATGAATAAAAGGAAGAATTATTATTATTATTATTACCAATCAACCTACAGTCAAAGAATCATGTCCTGACGGCAATGATACGTTGATCTCCAGGGTTCGAGCTCCAGCCACTTACCTATGTCCGCTTGGGTCTTATGGATCACATAGGGTTTGAATTTTTAAATAATAAATATGTGAAAGAGTGAATAACTGGTCTATATAAAGAAATGAATAAAAGGATAAAGAAATGAATGAATGAATGAAAAAAATAATAATAGGATAGATGAATAAAAGGACGAATAAATATATGAATGAGTGAATAACTGATTGTACCTGATCTCTACTAAAAGCCACATGAAGTTCTAGAGCTCCACTTTTCTCCCATTCTTCTAGTTCCTCCTAAACCCCCATCAAACCATATTCAACTTTTTATTTTTATTATTAATTCGGATCCTTCCCTAAGTTTAACTGTCGATTTTAAAAACTTAGAAAATTGCGTTAAGGCCTCATAGGGCTTGCAACTGGAAGTTTTGTAGAAGGGGATCCGGGGCAGTCACGCACGATAAATAGGGTGGGTAAGTTCCATTACACAGTTAAAAGCGCTTATATTTAACCTTTTTGGGCACTTGTCCCGTTGCCTCACCCCTTGAAGTGATGTCAAATATAAAAAATCTAATTAAAGATGCAAACAGAAATTAATGAATAAAACATCAGAAATAGTATAAGAATTTAAAACTAATGTCTAAAATAAAAAATATGATTTCCTCCCTGATAAATATAATCCAGGTCCTTATTTCTGCACCCGAAATAGAGCAAGGTTGGACCAACAGGTTTATTCTGCTCTTTCTGCCAAGCTCTCTCCTGGAGCAAACATTATTCATTTTTTCCAAATTAAAACTGATAATTTTTCTTTGATATTTCGTCCTGTAATTTAAAAATATATTTCCCTTGTCCCTCTTCTTCGGAAGTATTTTTTCTTTCCTTTTAATTGTCTAGACGCGACGGTGGTGGAAAATAATATTTTAGAAAGTTGAGATTGGTCAAGTTTCAGCTGAAAAGTTCAAAAATCAAAGTTCTAAAAATTCGTAAAATTGCATTCCGATTTGTATCGAAAAAATACAACTATATTGAAACTAATATTAGCAGTATCAGTTAATCATAGTTTATTAAATATCAATAAATAACTTTTAGATCCTCGACTTAAGTAAATATATAAAAAGTTACTGTGCTGGGAACCTTTGTGTTGAATATTCATAATTCCGATCGCTTGATTTCGATATCTACTATGGACACTTTTAATTTGTGTTATCCCTTCAGGGTACAATTACACTACAAGATATCGAACAAAGATTAAAATAATCTGCAGATTAACAAAAGCTTTGATCTCGATATCCACAAACAAGAGTTCCTAGCTCGGGTGTTTTACATCAAAAATTATGTAAAAAATATGTATGTATTATTATTATTATTATTATTATTAACATTCAACCTAGAGTCAATGTATTCTGTATACCACCCCGAACAAAATAATTACCTGAATAAATCCTCTGAACGGGGCTAAACCGGTTCCCGGTCCGATCATGATAACCGGCGTCTGTGGCCGATTCGGCAGCCGGAACTGTGACCGACGGACGAATACAGGAACTTTGGGATAGTTTTCACCAGCTGGGATCTTCTCTCTTCACACAAACAGAATATATTAATTTAAACAAAAAATAAGTTTCAGGAAATTATTAAATTGCTAAAAAATTAAAATGTTTAAGCTCAAGAACCTTTAAGAGTTAAATGGAAGATATTTGAAATTGTTTTGTCAAAAGGCAGTGTTTTAAAACTTTGGATATATGCACCCCTTGGTCGGTGTTTCCTTGCCTAAGAATACTGTTTACGTAAAATATAGTTTATTTAATGAGCTTCGTCAATCAATTTGCATTATATTTTTTTACCGATGTTTCGGTAAAGTAGCGAACAGTTGATATTTTGATGTGTATAGTAATTTCTCGGTTTCTTTCAAATAGGTCCAATGAACGAGGAACATTCCCTTTAAGTTTGATAAACTGCACGTGTAACACAACCTTCAAGTTTGGTTAACTGCACGTGTAAAACAACCTTTAAGTTTGGTTAACTGGACGTGTAACACAACCTTTAAGTTTGGTTAACTGCACGTGAAACACACCCTTTAAGTTTGGTTAACTGCACGTGTAACACACCCTTTAAGTTTGGTTAACTGCACGTGTAACACAACCTTTAAGTTTGGTTAACTGCATGCACGTGTAACACAACCTTTAAGTTTGGTTAACTGCACGTGTAACACAACCTTTAAGTTTGGTTAACTGCACGTGTAACACAACCTTTAAGTTTGGTTAACTGCATGCACGTGTAACACAACCTTTAAGTTTGGTTAACTGCACGTGTAACACAACCTTTAAGTTTGGTTAACTGCACGTGTAAAACAACCTTTAAGTTTGGTTAACTGCACGTGTAACCCACCCTTTAAGTTTGGTTAACTGCACGTGTAACACAACCTTTAAGTTTGGTTAACTGCATGCACGTGTAACACAACCTTTAAGTTTGGTTAACTGCACGTGTTACACAACCTTTAAGTTTGGTTAAATGCACGTGTAACACAACCTTTAAGTTTGGTTAACTGCACGTGTAACACAACCTTTAAGTTTGGTTAACTGCACGTGTAAAACAACCTTTAAGTTTGGTTAATTGTACCTGAGCCAAGTAGTTGCTACTCCTAGATTAGTTCGACCAGTAGGAGTCTCATATTCTACAACTACTCCACAGATATGAATGGAGTTCGGGTACACCTACAGTACACAGGAGTACATACATACATGAACAGGTGTAACAGTCAATTGTGCACATGTACAATGTACATACATACATGTACAGTTAAAGTTCAGACATCTTCAACCACACATTGAATTGGCGATTATACTAGTTTTATTTAAATATATCCTGAACTTCAAGTACATTTAAAAACCTACAGAAGACACTAAAAAGGGTGTACATTGTACATAAGGAACAAAAGGAAATATAATCTGCAAGAGACCCCAAAGTGGACCCCCCCCCCATGTGTGAAGTAAAAGGCCTAATAAAGTACCTTTGGACTGCTGGCTATCGAATAGAATCTGGGTTGTAACCTGAATATAAATTAACTTTAAACAAGATGATTTTTTATAAGAAAACAAAAGCTTTCTTGCAAAAGATGAATACCAAAATAAATTAAAATTTTTTAAAAAAATCTGTAGGAAGGTAGATACTCTAGTCTACTCTAGTATACCTGGGTAGTAGTTCTAGTAGATGATCTACTGGAGGTCTGCAGGAAGGTAGATACTCTAGTCTACTCTAGTATACCTGGGTAGTAGTTCTAGTAGATGATCTACTGGAGGTCTGCAGGAAGGTAGGTCCTCTAGTATATGAAGAAGATGTCTAACGTCATCTATAACCCAATTCTGATACATGGCCTTCCCTATAACAAATAGGGTAAGTAATTTTGTTTTACGGAAGGTAAGTGCCTCCCCCCCCCTTCCCCGACCCTATCGTTCGTACCTTCTGGGGTTGTTCCAGCCATAAGCTCCAATTTATTCTTCTCCTCATTATCTGTAGTATACCTTGAAATAGTTTTATCATCAGTTTCATTTTGAGTTCTTTACAAGAATCTACAGCTGAATTATCTTTATCAACATCAGTGACATACTCAGCATCATTATAAGTATAAACATTATCAATTAAATTATCAGTATCATGAGTCATGACCAGTATCATCATCAGTCTCATTATCACCATTATCACCATTATCACCATCAGTGTCATCATCAGAATCAAAACAAGTAAAATTTAAGTATAAACATCATAGGCATTATCATCAACATAAACTTCAGCATCATCGTTAGTATCGACAATATCACTATCAACGTCAGATTTATGACTAATAATTAGTATTCACACCATCAACATTAGCAATATTATTAATATTAACATCAGTATTATTATCAGTGCCATTATCAGTTTGATTATGAGTGTTCATATCATTATTATTATAATCGGCATGATTATCAGAAATAAATCATGCCAAATCAGAATTATTATAATTATTTCAAATTATTTTCATTAATATCAGTATCATCATTGTTATATTATCAACGTTATTATTAATCTCTTCATTATCCACATAAACAGTCATCTATCCACGGAAAGATTTATCGGCTAGGTTCTAAAACGCCTAAAACTGAAGCCAATGTACTCTTTAACATTTTACCTGGCAAGCTCTTTGAGTATATGAGTTCTAGGAAGAGCGGTCACATCAACATAGTGAAGAAGTGCAGTTCTAAACAAAACAGAATAAAGGCTTTTTATTGGATATACAGCAGTACCCTATATTTATAAACTTTTATCTAGCCAAGTATCGAAGATTGAGATATCTTCAATATAATCTGAAAATGGATAGCACCATCTAGCAGCTTTTCTATAAAATGGGCTTACAGCTTTTTACAGATTAGAAAATGACCGTTTAAGACAGGAAAATGACCAAATTTAGATAGTTTAAGGATTTATGTGAATTGTTATAGACATCCTTTAATAAGACTCTTTAATGGTTTCTGACTACAGGACCAGGTAGTATTGATAAATCTGATCATACAAGGTTTTGATAATACCATGAAGTGTTCTGCAGGTTATACTGACAGCAAGCATACGTGTTACATTTGCCAATTAATTGAAAGATGAGAATCCAAATACGAAATAATTTAGTTAATTAATGGTTTACATATAGGTTGTAGGACAAGGAAACCAAATAGGAAATAATAAAGTTAATAAATGGTTCACCTATAGGTTGTAGGACAAGGAAACGGTGTTTTCTTAGATGAATCTTCATCCATATTATCCATTCTAAAAATATAAATTTATTATTTTTATTATTACTGATAGATTTTCACACCAAGATCATGAAGACAGACTCGTGACGGCCTGCATACATTATCAGGTTAAGTGAGTTGACCTACCTGAAGACTGTGTCCCCGTTGATGTTGAGGATGTTGATAAGGTTGTCGACGATGTTGGTGTTGTTGGTTGGGTAGACAGCAACGTGATCCCCAGCATCATACCGTATCCTAGATCCTTCAATATCAACCTAGTCGGATACACACATTTTCTTCAACAAGATTAATTAAAAGTTATTTACAATTAATTTTTTTTTCTTTTTTTAAAACTCATTTAAGAAAAGATCCACATAAAATATTGATCTAAAAGTTATCATAAAATAAAACATTCCTCGTTTTGAATTTGTATAATGGAGCTTCTTCAAATTTAAAGTTAAATAATGGAGTTTCTTTAAATTTAAAGTTAAATAATGGAGCTTCTTCAAATTTAAAGTTAAATAATGGAGCTTCTTCAAATTTAAAGTTGAATAATGGAGCTTCTTCAAATGTAAAGTTGAATAAATGTAATTAAAATATATATATATATATATGTTTGTTAATTCTAACCAAATTTAATTTTAATCATAGCAAGGTTACTTATGGCAAGTGTAACCATTATGGCAAGTGTAACTTATGGTAAGTGTAATTTATGGCAAGTGTTGCTTATGGCAAATGTATTATGGCAAATATAATTTTGGCAAAAGTATTTATGGCAAAAGTATTATGGCAAATGTATTATGGCAAATATAATTATGATAAAAGTATTTATGGCAAAAGTATTATGGCAAATGAAACTGAGCCATCCCTTTAAGCAAGCGCCAAAATGTCCCAGTGAGATAAACTCAAACAATTACTTATTTAAACAAAACATTTAAATTAAGTTTATTAATTTTACCTTTCACTCAATATTACATAAATTCAAAATCAGTCTGAATATTAAATACCTTTTTATATGTAAGACAAATTAGAATTAACAATACTTTTTCATTGAAACCTTGATTCTATATTCAAAAGGTACAATTCCTTCTGTCTGGGTTGACACCGCAATATTATTTTACAAAAACATCAAAAAGCGGGAATCTTATCTATTGAGCAATTCCCTGGGACTCCTTTAAAGAAATTGTCGAAACTGTAAGTTCAACTCGAAAGATTGTCTGAAGCAGTACTTATAGAGTGGTTTGAAGAACATACATCAGTCCTATCTAACACCTTGTAGGACGCACATTTATTTATTATAATTAAGTTTTTAATCATTTTAATCAAAGATATACATAGTATCTTATGTTGTGTTTATTTATTATATTGTAAAGCTACAGGGTTACCCACAAAGAATGAGACTGTAAAGACGACCCTAAACTCTAAAAATGTGACGATCCCAAGGTTAAATTAAGTATTCGGCCTTAAATATAGTAATCTAATGGCTTATATAATGATTTGGCAAAGAAAGAAACAATCTTAAAGTTGAAGGAAATCGTGAATACAGGGAAACAATATAAATTCAGTACAACCGTCTCTGAAGTCTTATTCTTTGTGGGTAACCCTGTATGATTGGAATCCCCATGAGGAAAAGGTTGAGGTTGAGAAAAAGTTGATTACTAAAAACTGAAGTTTGCAGAATATGGAGTAAATATTACCTTGTGAATATTACGGTTTATCTTAATCTCCGCCATTAGAGGATTCTTTACATCAAAGGGAGGACGTTGTGTGATATAAGACTTCAGCCTCGCTACTTCTCCTGAAAAAAAAAACAATCAACTCAGACTTTTAGGAACGTGAAACAACACAACACAATATTCTCGGACTTAACATAAAAATTCAAATCCAGTGTAAATCTGAGAGGGAACCTAACGTAGAACCCCCAGACTGCTTTCAGGGCGCTATTCACCACCGTGCAGATAGCGGCCTGGATTAAACATCTAAAAGGAATCAACTTAACCCAAGAAGGGGATTAAGAGCTTTATGAATGGATTAGGAATACAAAAGTTCCGAACTCAAGACAGGATTATGAATTTATGAATGCAAATCAATAATTTTAGACAATTTTAGTCAAATTTTATAAAAAAAAATTTAAATAAACTTTTTCTGGCATGTTCTTTCAGCCCCCCTCTTTCAAAAACTACCTCGACAACCCCTGTAGAAGAATGAATAACGAAAAAAATAAAAACTTTTCACCAAATAATTAATTTTCCATTACAAAATCGCCAATCTAAAATTCAGAGATAAAAAACTCTCTTAAAAAATTTATTATGATTTTTCAAGAAAAATATTTTTTCTGTTTTTTCCATTATAAACTGGTGCTCCTGCACCACAGTACACATAGATGAAATAAAAAATTACCTGTATAAAGTTTATCTGCCACAAAGCTACCTTCCTCTAGAACCTAGGAATAACATTTTTTTAAAAGATAATTTTTTAAAAAGAAATATTTTTCAGACCTTGTGTGTATATTGCCGGGTGTTGAAATCATCACTTGAAGCTTCAATGTTTAACTCCGCACAAACTACAGGAAGACGACATTCATTTGTGTGTGAAATAATCGAATAATGAAAATCAAGCGATGAAGATAATCAAATGAAGGAAACTATCTTAATATTTTCAAAAAAAAATAATCAACGACGACATCATAATTCTCCCAATAAGGTATAAAATAAAAGAATATTATTTACCGAAATTGGGCTCAACTTTCACTTGTCAAGATTTTATAAACAACATTTATCAAATAAACAAACTCTGAGAAGGTGTGCACCGTACTCTGTACTGTAAGTGCTTTTGATTTTGAAGCAACCCCCTTTATTTACCGCCTAGTATCCATGCTTTTCTGGCATACACAGTACACACTGAATCCTGAAAAAAATCAGGACAGAACGGAACAACTATATCCCATTTAAACCAGGGTCAAGTGGAGGAGCTCAGCCCTGTTTCCATTGTATTTCAACCAACCAAATATACACGAAGCACAAACATTTTTTTGTATCCCTCCCCTAGGAGTCCGGGGGGGGGGGGGGGGGCGGCGGCAAAATTTGAGCTGTAAATTCAAAATATTTGGCCTCTTGAATTCTTTAAAGGTACACATACAGTCCAATTACCTTACAACTGCTACTTTATCTCTCCTTCAAACAAAACTAGCAGAAAAAATAGCAAACTTTTTTATGTTCTTCACTCTTTAGTTTGTATATAAAAATAAAGAATGAAGATCAATGAAGAAATTATTTTATATAATCATTATTTACGTTAAAAACACAATAATATTTTCCTGAGATCCAGAATGCTTCTTTCCAAGTAATAAAATCGTCCTCTGAGGATCAAAGTAATTTTTTTTCATAACAAGGAAGGGATTTTTTAAATTTAGTTTCGAGTTATATTGAATAATAATTATCTGCCATTTTGACTAAATTATAAACGAAGTTTTGGTGGTAATTTTAAAGAAATGGAAGTATTATAGCCGGCAATTGACATAAATGGAAGTATTGGCAAATTAATAAATTGAAGCATTGTTGGGCGTTGGCGCCAATGTGAATAAATGGAAGCATTGTTTGATTTAGAAATGGAAGATCAAGTATTTGCGGTAATTTAGAAAAGTATAAGTATTGTGTGCCATTTTGATAAATGAAGTTATTAACTTATTGGAGGCCATATTGAAAAAAGTACTGTAGAACATTTAAAAAAAAGGATTGTCGGCCATTTTGATAACTGGACGTATTAGAAACCATTATAAAAAAGTATTATAAACCATTTTGATAAAGCTTTGATTCCTAGATTTGCATCGTCGTCTCCACTACCAAGCTCGTGTACTCTTTTACCGCCAAGTTCTAGAAGTTTCTTATCCACAAACTTTCCCATCGCATTAAAGTGCTCATAGGTCTTGTTCCCTGAAAAAAATCAGTATTAAGACGACATCTAAAAAAGTTAACACAATATTTCCGCGTAATATTTCTTTCTTTATGTTGTTAAACACAGATCCATGTTTTGTTTACCTAGACCAAACACTGCGTATTTAAGTCCTTCGACATTAATCGAATCATTTTGTAATTTCTCATTAAACTCCATAGCGTTGTCTGTTGGATCTCCTTCCCCATAGGTAGCCATCATAAATACAGCCAAACATTCACCATTCAACTCCTCTCCTAGATCCTAGATAGATAGATAGATAGATCAATTTAAAGATAAATAGAGCGATATAAAAATTAATAGATAAATAGGTAGACAGATAGAAAAGTAGATAAATGAACACATAGATCTCTGACTGGTTACTAGATGAATAAATTTGGTTGAGGTTTTCTTATGTAAAATTATTTCCCAGGTCTATAATTGAAAGGTAGAAGAAAAATGATAAACCTTTAGTTTCTCAAGTTCCTCCATATCTTCCTCCTCAGGATCCGCAACCAGTCCCTTCATTCCATACTTGGCACCCTCCTTAGCTAGTCGACCTGGCACATGGGAAATATTTTAATTAAAAAGCAATTAATCAAAAAATTGCTTTAAATTATTCAGAAGATTTTTAAAAAATTAACTGACTAGTAACTTCAACTCTAGTTACTTTAAGTAAATCTAAAAGAATTTCTAGAGGAAGCGGTAAAAACGAGACTTATCTACAAAGATCCAAAAAATAATCCCCCCCCATTTGTAAATTTTTTGTATTCTAATTCCAATGCATGTTAATTTGCAACAAACAAAATACACAAAGTAAACTGCTTTGATAATTATGAATAACTACAAAATGAACTTATATACACAAAATTATGAAAATCAAAGTACTACCTTTTTCTTGAACCGAGGTCAAAGATTTATTTAATATTTTTAACAGAGAAATATCGATATTGTTACAAAGTACCAGTTGAAATTTTGTCAATACCACTAAAACCAAAAAGCTTTGAAGTTTCTGAGGTCAGTCTGGAGGCTGAAACTTTAGAGGCTAACAACTCACAAACCAGAGGTCACAGAGAACTTTAGTTTTTTATTTTCTTGTTCTTTTACATAGCTTAATCAGAGGTTTTAATTAAATCCGAATCTGAGATGGTGACTTTCATGGGGTGGCTGAGTTGAACAAGAATGACCATTGCGAAACATGGAAATTATATAAATGAAATATAAATGTTCTTTGAGATTAAATACATATTTCAATATTATAGAAATCCCGTCGTGATCTGGATCACCCTGTATAACAGGCCAGTAACTAGACGTTTTTTTGTGTGCGGGGCACAGAGGGTAAAGGAGAGACAAAGCACTATTACACAGTAATATTGGTCTTACAGGGGTGGGGATAGGGGGGGGGGTACGTGTTCTGTTGACCCCCCCCCTCACCCTAAGTTACGGCCCAACATACAATACATACCTTTGCAATGAAACCCTTCTCTGTAAAGCTCTCCTGTCTGACGGTCATAGGCTTAATCTCATATTCAGGAATACGGTCGTCTTCCTTCTCCTAGAATACAAAACAATAATAAATAGTACGTTTTGTTCTAATATAATGTTTATAATTTTTAAATTTGATGCAGTAATCAAAGGGTGAGTTTATAATTATCTTTAAGGGACTGATGACTTAATTTCAAGTGACTTTCCTTTTACAAAATGACATGTCCACTGTCCTACTTACAACAGTACCTTATAAGTTTTGTCTGATCATTAATGCATTATAGATCCAGAAATTTCTCGTTAAAAAATGATTATTTTCAAATGTGTGTTCTCTTTAAAGTGAATTGCGAATTTCCAAGCTTCAGAAACAAAGTAGGAAATTCTCATAATTGAACATTTATTAAGGCTAGAAGGTCACTTGAAATTACAAAGACAGCTCTTTAAAAAGAAAGATAAAGATTATTTCTTTTAATGCACTCAAGAAAAAAAAATGTGATACAAATGAAAGAAGATTATACAGGACGAAATATGCAATCATGAAGATGGAATAATAATAATGTTAGACAAAGTTTACCCTGAAGAGCAGATAATAAATAGCTGCTGCTCCTACTCCAGCTAGAAGTATATAATCCAAGGTACTGAAGTAGCTTTCAGACTCCTGCACCCAGGGTTCTTATACAACCAAACCAAACTAAACCAAACCAAACCAAACCAAACTAAACCAAAATTATCGAACACAAACTGAGCTAAACCAACCCAAACTAAACAAAACTAACCAAATAAAAACTAAACTAAGCTTAACTAAACTAAACTAAACTAAACTAAACTAAACTAAACTAAACTAAACTAAACTAAACTAAACTAAACTAAACTAAACTAAACTAAACTAAACTAAACTGATTCACTTTTATTTCTATATGCATCAAAAGGCGAGCATCTTAAATGCTTAACTTAACTGAACTAGGTTGCATAAGATTTTTAAATGAATACCTTTCTTATCGACATCTTCCGGACAATTGTTAATAGATTGACAAATATTGGTTAACTAATTCAAAGCTGATCAACATTCAAGTTTTGTTCCACAGGGAGAACATGATCTTCATTTTTACTTCTTCCTAATTTACACATTTTTTTCTATTTTTATATTTCCCAATTTTTTCCAAGCCTCAGTTTTAAATCCGAGAAAAAAGTACAAAAAAAAATTTAATTTCGGAAGAGTAAAGGAAAAATTAATTTTTAGTGTAACCAGATGTTTGCATGAAATCCTGAGTGTACCAGGACGGATACAGCCCGTCATATTGGACTTCAGATTGTCACGAATAATTAGTAAAATTCTCTTGAATATTCACGGTTCCGCATTTTAGTAAACATCGACAAAATAATCTAGAGTCATTTACTTTTATTTTAAAGATAAAGATGTAATACGGAAAGATGAATAAAAACAATAAAAATCAAATCAAAAGTTTTCCTTGTATCCCTTAATATTTTGCGGAACACTGTACCCTGTAACATTTGGCAATTCTATATTGTGACTTATTTAAAGCATTACAAAATATATAACAAATTATTAACTTTTTTAACTCGCATAAGAAAGGTGTCTTTTTGTAACATTTTTCTTGTTGTTTAAAAGGAGTGACCTGCAATGTATGGTAGTTGAACTAAGAATATAGAATTCTGGAGAAATTTTTAGGATTCATTTGAGACATATAAATCGTTTTAATGATTTATAATTAGTGAGTTTGAGCGCATAGTCGACATTTAAAATCATCCATTTGGGTGGTTACGCTTTGAGAATCCCTTTTTTTAAATTGTTAAATAACGACGTAAAATTTTTTTTAAAAATTCTACAATAAACTAATTAGATGTTTAGGAACATATTTCTCAATAGAAATTTGTCAATAACTCAATGTTAGAATCAATTATTTCTTTTTCAAAATTACATTGAATTTCTTATTCTTTACGAATTCGTTTACTGATTTCTTAAAAATTCTTCAAATATCGTCTTTTCAATAAAAAATTCAAGGAAATCTACAGAAAATGTTAAAGATCAATTTGAAATCACAGAAACCAATAACTGAATACGATACTTATATTTTCTCAACCTCTTCCTAAACAACTAATTAAGTTAACGTAGAATTTTTGTTACATTTTTCGTCGTCGTTATTAAATAATTTAAAAAAAAATCTGATTCTCAAAATCATCGCTTTAAAACGGACAATTTATGAGGGTTTTAAAGATTGAATTTGAGTTCTTGCTGAACAAGTATGCATCGTAAAAACGTATGATATGTCTATGAATCCTAAAAAGTCTCTTCACAACACTTCATTCTCAGCTCAACTAACATACACTGCCGTTCACTCCCTTTAAAAAACGCATAATTCCCTGTTTTTGAGGTTAAAAACATAATTTAGCTTATCGCAGTTCTCAATTATGTTTCTGAAAACTAGAATCTTAAAAGTCATCGTGTTTTGCTGAATGCAGTTGGAAAGACCCATAAACTACGGTTTTAGTCTTCGTAAATATTATTGCGAGTAAATATTCATAATAATTATGACTAAGCCTAAAACACTCGAATATATATATATATTTGTTTGGCTTGTTTGTCTATTTCTTTGTTTGTATCCAATAATACAAAAGAAAGGCTGAACCAATTTAACCCGAAAAACACTCGAATATATATAATTGTTTGGCTTGTTTGTCCATTTCTTTGTTTGTATCCAATAATATTAAAGAAAGGCTGAACCAATTTGACCCGAAAAACACTCGAATATATATATTTGTTTGGCTTGTTTGTCTATTTCTTTGTTTGTATCCAATAATACTAAAGACCCGAAAAAAGCGAAACAAATGATATGCGAGACTTAAGCTGCAGAAAACATGAGTTAAAGTGATTTTGCGATTTTTCCAAAATGTTTGTACAATTGACCAACAAATGAGAAAACTACTTCGTTTATTAAATAAATTTCAACATAAAGACCGTCCATTTTTTAAAAGAATGTGAAGAACATATATTATCTCTGTAAACGGATGTAATTCTATGCGTGTTATGTCTTTATTTTCGATAAATACATGTTTATTAGGACAACATGAATTCGAACTGTTCTGAAAAAAAGTAATTTTATACGCTTCATGACAGATTTTAAAGAACTTGTTTATCTGTCTTCTTGTCTAAGACCGTTCAACATGAAAAACTGCTCGTCAGTCTAACTGCAAAAAAAGCTTAATTCTGAAAGAAGTTATGGATATTTTAGTGATAAGTTTCGATCATTCTTAACCTCATAGACAGTTTTGAGGATAAAGATGGACTTAATAATACAAATAAGATTAATCCTATTTTATCACTCATGAGCCTCAGAATGATCCATAAATAAAAAAAAGATAAGTATGCATGTTCTCAAATACATGAACATGAACTTAATTTTGAAACGATTAAGTTATTAATCCGTAAAAAATCAGCCAACTCATTGGGGGAGAGCAAATATTTTGAGACATCTGATTGGTCGATGTTTTAGAATTAACTTAATCCGTCCGAACACAGAAGATACGGATCAGTGCTTTCTAAAGGGATAACCCATCATATTCTAACAGCTGTTATGATTGTCTAAGAACCCATTCCTGTTCTACTGTCTGCTGCTCCTCCTCTGCTCTGACCAGCAGGCTACACAGGATTACAAAAAGGTACAAAAATATCATTGTATCTGAAAAAAAAAAATTATTCGAAAACACAAGGAAATATTCTGAATTGTAGAATGAGATTAATACAATTCCGACATTGAACTTTCCATAATAACAAATATGTACTTAAGAAATAGGTTGACATCTTAGCTTTAGATAAAATATTATAAAATGCGTTGAATATTGTATGCATAAAGAGAGCTTCCATCACAAATTAAATCAATCAAGTTTGGTAAAAAGATAGTACAAGAATACTTTGTATTCTTCAAACTGAAAATATTGAATTTTGCTAAAGAAAATGTTATCAATAATTCATTTTATTTCCTCTGGAAGAGTATTTTTTGTTCCAATAAAATAACGATGTGTTCTTACTCACAAACAGTTGTTAAACCAATCAGAGGTCAACAGCAATATTTCCAGCAATTCTCACAGAATTTTCGATGGATCTTATCTATCAATTTCGATATATTACAGAACAAAACGTTATGATATTTCTACAGTATCTTATCTTAAATCCAAATTACAAAACCTGACGAAACTATAGTATTTTGCAATGAGTACGAATTAAATAAAAGAATAAATCTTATCTCTCCCAACATATTCCTTAACATATCTTAAAGATTAGGAAAACTGCTAGTGCCCCCCCCCCCTCCTCCTCCTTTTCTAATTTTCAACCTAAATTATTCTATTTCTTATTTTCTTAATGGGAGAATTGGCTAAATTAAAATAGAAAAGCAGCGCAGCGTAGGAGGTTGCAGATTAAGACTAATTTAACAAGAACGGATTTTCAGACAATCTCATCATTTTGTTGGGATAAAATAAAGGTGATAATTCTGTAGACTCAGACAGTCTAGTCTCTCTTAATATCCAGTCTAGTCTCCTAAATCCATTACGATCTTGTGTCTGTATCTTGTGTCTAGTGTCTTTTGTCAAATATCAATTTTTTCTCCCACAGGAAAATCCAGTAAAGTTGAAGAAACTGTCTGATATAAATCCAGTAACGTTAAAGAAACTGTCTGATATAAATCCAGTAAAGTTGAAGAAACTGTCTGATATAAATCCAGTAAAGTTTAAAGAAACTGTCTGATATAAATTCAGTAAAGTTTAAAGAAACTGTCTGATATAAATCCAGTAAAGTATAAAGAAACTGTCTGATATAAATCCAGTAAAGTATAAAGAAACTGTCTGATATAAATCCAGTAAAGTATAAAGAAACTGTCTGATATAAATCCAGTAAAGTATAAAGAAACTGTCTGATATAAATCCAGTAAAGCTAAAAGAAACTGTCTGATACAAATCCAGTAAAGCTTAAAGAAACTGTCTACTAGAAACCCAGTAAAGTTGAAAGAAACTGTCTGATACAAATCCAGTAAAGTTAAAAAAACTCTAATAGAAATCCAAAAAATGTAAAAGAAACTGTCTACTAGAAATCCAGTAAAGTTAAAAGAACCTGTCTATCAGAAATCCAGAAAAGTTAAAAGACACTGTCTGATACAAATCCAGTAATTTTAAAAGAAACTGTCTACCAGAAATTCAGTAAAGTTAAAAGAAACTATCAACCAGAAATACAGTAAAGTTAAAAGAAACTATCAACCAGAAATACAGTAAAGTTAAAAGAAACTATCAACCAGAAATACAGTAAAGTTAAAAGAAACTATCAACCAGAAATACAGTAAAGTTAAAAGAAACTATCAACCAGAAATACAGTAAAGTTAAAAGAAACTATCAACCAGAAATACAGTAAAGTTAAAAGAAACTATCAACCAGAAATACAGTAAAGTTAAAAGAAACTATCAAATAAAATCAGCTGCTGATTTCAAGATAACTGAATTTTGATTATGAAGAAATCAAGAAATGAAGGAATTACAGTTAAAAATTACAAATTGTTAATGGGGTTTCTGATTAAAAGAAATAACGAAGAAGACAATAATTCCATTGTTTATTGGTCATTACAGTGTTTTCTGTTTAAAATTTTTATCCTAAGATAGTTCAAATATAAGATGAATTAAATCATCGAACCACAAATATGAAAAAGGAATAAACTTAAAGGATAATGATGCGAGCAGGAGAAAATATCACGTTTTCACTTTCAAATATAAATTCTTCCAGACAAAAAAAAATCTCAAGAACTGAAGAGGCTCAACTCAGACCAAATATATTTTACAAGAAGTATTGAACTATAAAATATTCTATATGGGGTTTGCATCATCATCCAACACAACATCTTAAATACAAGAGATTTAGAACCATAAAAAAACATCACTTGCACGTTCTATGCAAACTGTATGTCTATTAATTAGAACCTTATTCAACTTAGTTATCACATTTAAAATGACACAGGAATGAGACTGGGGGCTGGGCAGGGGGAGAGGGGTAGAATAAATTGAGAGAAAGGTAGAAGGGAGGCAGGGTGTTAAAGGGTTAAATAAAATGTTGAAGGGTTTGTTTACAATTAATAAATAATGATTTTTCAACATTATTTCACAGTATCATACAAAATCAGTTAAAACTAAAATAAACGAGTGTTGTAACCAGAATTAACTTTCAGTATGGACACAAAATAGAAAATATGAAAACATACACACTTATAAACTTGTATAACATGTAACTTAAAATATTACATCACATAACCTAAAAGCAACGTAAACGCGTACTGTATACTAAGTTGCCTGAACTATGGCTTGTCTTGCCTAGTGCCTAGTGCATATACTGCCTAACTGCATAGAAGGGCTTTAGTGAAACTGAGTGTAATGTGTATAAACAGTGATCAGTGTTCTTGTAGTAGTGTACTCTATAACCTTAGTATTAAGCAGGAGGGTCGTATACAGAGTACAAAGATGTAAGCCTTGAGAATGCATTGCAGATTGCAGATTGCATGTGGAAAGGATGGAAAGAGATGCTCTAAATTTCAATTTAAATACGCAAAGCCCAAAGGCAACTTTAGACATTATGAACGATATATCTAGTACGTAGTACGTTAGCATTGTAGTTTTTAGGATTAATGGTGTCCAAAATCTAATATGATATCATGTGTGCCGAGAATTGAGTACTTTTCTTCTCCTTTTATATTCTAAACATTAACACAATATCAATCTTCTCTATACTTTCTTTCTCTGTCCCAATCCTTTATTTCTTTCCTTCCTTGCTCTAACCTATACTTCATCTTTCCTTCCTTTTTTTTTTAAAACAAAACCTTTTCTTTCTATCCTTACTTTTCTTTCTCTTACCTTTTCCTTCTGTCCTTCCTTTTATTTCTCTTACCTTCTCCTTCTATCCTTCCTTTTCTTTCTCTTCTTTCGCTTACCTTCTCCTTCTATTCTTCCTTTTCTTTTTCTTACCTTCTCCTTCTATCCTTCCTTTCCTTTCTCTAACCTTCTCCTTCTATCCTTCCTTTTCTTTCTCTTACCTTTTCCTTCTATCCTTCCTATTCTTTCTCTTACCTTTTCCTTCTAATTCCTTTTCTTTCTCTAACCTTCTCCTTCTATCCTTCCTTTTCTTTCTCTAACCTTCTTCTTCAATCCTTTCCTTCAATTCTCTATCCTTTCTCTTTCCTTCCTTTTCTTTCTATCCTTTCTTTTCTTTCTCTAGCCTTCTCCTTCTTTCTTTCATTTTCTTCTCTAGCCTTCTTCTTCTATTCTTCCTTTTCTTCTCTAACCTTCTCCTCCTATCCTTCCTTTTCTTTCTCTTACCTTTTCCTTCTAATTACTTTTCTTTCCCTAACCTTCTCCTTCTATCCTTCCTTTTCTTTCTCTAACCTTCTTCTTCAATCCTTTCCTTCAATTCTCTATCCTTTCTCTTTCCTTCCTTATCTTTCTATCCTTTCTTTTCTTTCTCTAGCCTTCTCCTTCTTTCTTTCATTTTCTTCTCTAGCCTTCTTCTTCTATTCTTCCTTTTCTTCTCTAACCTTCTCCTCCTATCCTTCCTTTTCTTTCTCTTACCTTTTCCTTCTAATTACTTTTCTTTCCCTAACCTTCTCCTTCTATCCTTCCTTTTCTTTCTCTAACCTTCTTCTTCAATCCTTTCCTTCAATTCTCTATCCTTTCTCTTTCCTTCCTTATCTTTCTATCCTTTCTTTTCTTTCTCTAGCCTTCTCCTCCTATCTTTCATTTTCTTCTCTAGCCTTCTTCTTCTATTCTTCCTTTTCTTCACTAACCTTTTCCTCCTATCCTTCCTTTTCTTTCTCTTACCTTTTCCTTCTATCCTTCCTATTCTTTCTCTTACCTTTTCCTTCTAATTCCTTTTCTTTCTCTAACCTTCTCCTTCTATCCTTCCTTTTCTTTCTCTAACCTTCTTCTTCAATCCTTTCCTTCAATTCTCTATCCTTTCTCTTTCCTTCCTTTTCTTTCTATCCTTTCTTTTCTTTCTCTAGCCTTCTCCTTCTTTCTTTCATTTTCTTCTCTAGCCTTCTTCTTCTATTCTTCCTTTTCTTCACTAACCTTTTCCTTTTATCTTTCCTTTTCTTTCTTCTCTAACCTTCTTCCTCAATACATTCCTTCATTTCTCTGTCCTTCTCAACACTTTCTTTCTCAAACTTTTTTTTCCAATGAACTTAAAAATTGACAATATAATTTCCAATCTACATTTACAACGCAGCATCTCTTTACTTCTTATATTCTTCCGACCAAAGTTCTAACCTTCTTCTTCTTTTTCCTTTCTCTTATTTCCCGTTAGTTCTACAGAAATACATTGTTTTCTTTCTCTAACCTTCTCCATCAATTCTTCTTTTCTGATTATTCCACCTTACAAACTTTTCTTCGTACTATCAAAACCTCATCCTACATTCTTTTTTTCCTTTCTCCTCTTAAAGGGACTGTAAGCATAATTTCAAGTGACCCTTCCATGCAAAGATGTCAATGCCCGATTCACAATGGCACCTTTTAAATCTTAATCTAATCAATATTGTGGAAGTCGAAGATATTGTCGTTTATATAGTTTTAAAAGAATCGTTTTTCTGAAGTAGAAATGCGCAAGTCGCTTTTTTTTTAGAAAGAAACCACAATTAAAAATAATCAGTCAAAAATTAGTTATATTAAGGATTTACCTTAATTATCTTATTTCTTGAAAGCAAGTGATCATTTTTTAAAATATCTGAAAATAATTATTTAGATCAAAACATGAATTATACATTTATTGAATATTTAACTACAAAACCATTGTATCTTATGAACTTTAAGCAACCCCACTTAGAGATTTTTTAAGCATTAATGATCAGGATAGTTTTTTTCAAGAGGTTCTGGCTATACTAGCTGTTGTTAATCTTTTCTGTCACTCCTTCATGGGAAATTTACTAATTTAGGAACATTGGTAACAAATTCAAGATAATACACTTTTTGACCAAAACAAATCTTTAAATGTGTTCTTTCTGAACAATTCATTAATAAAAAAGGTTGAAATATGTTGAAGAAAAAAAAATTAATGGTTCTCATCTCATAAAAATAGAAAACATGCTAGATAGAGCAAAGAATGCATTGAAAACTACCAATTCCATTCCAAAATACAGAAGTTTTGGGGCAAAAACGGTCCAAACAAAAATATGGAACCGGAGAAGTATACACAAAATGGCGAAGACAACAATATCGGACCAAGTGGAGAAAAAATATGCATCCTTGAGCGCATCCTTCTCCAGATGCTGTAGCAGATATGCCAGACTGACGCAAGGACCTGCGTAAGTGTGTACAGCAAGTTGTACAATTACTAGTCCAGGACTGTACGCAGTGAGTCCAATATATCCTGCTCCAACATTTATTGTGGAAAGTGTGTTAGAATTTCCAAAATAAAAAAATGATGATTTAATGATGACAATTGCCATCACTAAAGCTGTTGCTGGTTGTACGTGCATCATTACAGGCTTAACAACATTGAGATAACATAATAATACAAACAAACATACAACATTAGTGTCCTCTAGTAATAAGCAACAAAGAAGTATCACAGTTTCATAAAATAAAGTACTTTGTCTCCTTTGTACAACAATTTTTATAAATAACGCCAGATAAACTATTTGAGCAAGCTCAACTGAAACATAATACTTCTGTAGGATTATGCACATGATTATGATAAAGTTAAGGACCAGACCTGAATAGGACAAGTTCAAAAATATCAAGGTTGAGACTGCAGAGAAAACAAACAGATTAAACCTGAGGTTTGGCTGAAGGTTCAAGTTGTCAGATATATCCGGTAGATGTCTCCACTTGTCCCCGGTCTGATTAAACCCACGGAGAAGTCGATGTAGACCAAGAGCTAATCCTGCTGATAGAACCTGTCCTCTCCGCCCTCGTTCTTTATCATCGATATCCGTGTTTATAGAAGAGTAGAGGAGCAGGGTTGCGGATAGAAAATATAAGGTTTGATGTTCCTCCTCTATGAAGGATGAACTAAGGAAACTAAATGAATGAGGGAGAAGAAAACAGAGTGGGACGAATTCTCCATTAAAAACTATATTTTTTACAGAGTTATTAACATGTCTGATTGAGGGTAGGATGAGGACGGATAAGAAGATAATAAATCCTGCTGCTGGAGAGAGACTACACAGTTCTGACTCTACTACGGAGCAGGTTAGAAAATGAAAGGATAGGATGAGAAAGATGAGAGGGAGACTAAGGTTAGAAACGGATCCAGGTTGTATTCCGACAGAGGAGATGACAAGAAGAACGGAGAGAGCAAGGATATAAAGATCATAGTTAGTAAGGTTTCCCACCAGGTTCTCCTGGTAGGACAATATACTAGAGCCGAACAAGGATTCAACTGCTCTCATATCTTCGGGTGTTAAGTTTTTACTCATTATCAATCTAGAAGCTTCATGGAGCAGTTCTACTCCGTGAGTATCCCTGGAGAGGTTGCTGAGCTGACGAGCATTGTATTCTAGAACCTGGAGCTTGTGGTCAGGAGACAGGGAGGAGAAGGTTCCGTCAATGATGCGTCCCATGCTAGATCTAAACGTGAAGAAGGTGTATATTTGATTTTAAAATATTTCAAACAAATTCTAATATTTTTTTAATCTTTAAATAATTTTTTTTTGAGACAATCCCCCCAAAAATATTAAAATAATTAATTCTGGTGGAAAATTTGGGAAAAAACTTAATTTTAAAGATACAATTTTAATAGTAAAGTCTTACAGAAATATTATTTTAAAAGGTTAAATAAGTAGAATCAAAATTAGTTATCAAACTTGATTGATAAAGTGCCTGGTTTGCATTCCTCTGTGTTACCTGGGAATAGGTATTCCGGTCAGGTAAGCTACAGTTGGAGTAACATCAACCTGGAGATATTGAACCCGAGGAGATTTCACGGAATCCGTCCCATCTTCCCTTCTCTTCTCACCCTGTTAAAACTAGTAATATAATCCGTCCTATCTTCCCTTCTCTTCTCACCCTGATATAAATGGTAATAGACTACGTCCTATCTTCTATTCTCTTTTACTCCTCATATAAATGGTAATAGACTCCGTCCTATCTTCTATTCTCTTTTACTCCTGATATAAATTAAAATAGAATCCGTCCTATTTTCAATTCTCTTCTACTTTTGATATTAAATGAAATAGAATTCGTCCTATTTTCAATTATCTTCTACTTTAGATATTAAATGAAATAGAATTCGTCCTATTTTCAATTATCTTCTACTTTAGATATTAAATGAAATAGAATTCGTCCCATCTTCTCTTCTCCTGTTATAAATGGTAATAGAATCCGTCCTATCTTCTCTTCTCCTGTTATAAATGGTAATAGAATCCGTCCTATCTTCTCTTCTCCTGTTATAAATGGTAATAGAATCCGTCCTATCTTCTCTTCTCCTGTTATAAATGGTAATAGAATCCGTCCTATCTTCTCTTCTCCTGTTATAAATGGTAATAGAATCCGTCCTATCTTCTCTTCTCCTGTTATAAATGGTAATAGAATCCGTCCTATCTTCTCTTCTCCTGTTATAAATGGTAATAGAATCCGTCCTATCTTCTCTTCTCCTGTTATAAATGGTAATAGAATCCGTCCTATCCACCTTTCTCTTCTTCTTCTTATTTTAATTTCAATTGAAAAAGTCTGAATTCCAACACTTCTGTACTCGTGAGTTAAGAGAACGAATTACTTACAGCAAACTCTGGTTTTCTAATCCTTATATCTTTGCAACCTCATGTCGTACACCTTTGATATTTTAAACAAGGAGTTCTGCTAAAGATAATAATCTAAATTTGAAATATTACAGGTTTAAACCATCAGGTTCCTAAGGTATATGGATTTTAAAACTAAAGATTGTGGTGAGTAATAGATTCTTTTAAATGAAATCTGTCTTGTCTAAAATCCTCCTCCTGTAAAATGAAGGAGACAGGTTAATGTATTTCAGGATTAACAAAGAAAAGAATTTAAATAAAGAACTTAAGAAATCTCTTCTGTGTGGCAGTAATATGTGTAAATGTTTATTTTTTACACTGACAGAAAAATTCAACTTGGAATACAAATAAAAGAAAGAATAGAATTTAAATAACCAAGATTCTCTAAACATTGTGTATTAGGAAACCTCAAATAAACCCCAGGATTTACCTGTATACTCTGAGACATAAGAACGAATGGAACTAAATTCTCCGGATCTGATTGTTTACCTGTATACCCTGAGATATTAGGACAAATGGAACTAAAATCTCCAGATCTGATAAACCCAGTGTTTACCTGTATACCCTGAGACATAAGGACGAATGGGACTAAAATCTCCTGATCTGATAAACCCAGTGTTTTCCTGTATACCCTGAGATATTAGGACAAATGGAACTAAAATCTCCTGATCTGATAAACCCATTGTTTACCTGTATACCCTGAGATATCAGGACAAATGGAACTAAAATCTCCAGATCTGATAAACCCAGTGTTTTCCTGTATACCCTGAGATATTAGGACAAATGGAACTAAAATCTCCTGATCTGATAAACCCAGTGTTTACCTGCATACCCTGAGATATTAGGACAAATGGAACTAAAATCTCCAGTCTAATATACCCAGTGTTTACCTGTATACCCTGAGGCATTAGGACGAATGGAACTAAAATCTCCAGATCTGATAAACCCAGTGTTTTCCTGTATACCCTGAGACATAAGGACGAATGGAACTAAAATCTCCAGATCTGATAAACCTAGTGTTTACCTGTATACCCTGAGATATTAGGACAAATGGAACTAAAATCTCCGGATCTGATAAACCCAGTGTTTACCTGTATACCCTGAGATATTAGGACAAATGGAACTAAAATCTCCAGATCTGATAAACCCAGTGTTTACCTGCATACCCTGAGATATTAGGACAAATGGAACTAAAATCTCCGGATCTGATAAACCCGGTGCTTACCTGTATACCCTGAGATATTAGGACGAATGGAACTAAAATCTCCAGATCTGATAAACCCAGTGTTTTCCTGTATACCCTGAGACATAAGGACGAATGGGACTAAAATCTCCAGATCTAATAAACCCAGTGTTTACCTGTATACCCTGAGACATAAGGACGAATGGAACTAAAATCTCCGGATCTGATAAACCCAGTGTTTACCTGTATACCCTGAGATATTAGGACAAATGGAACTAAAATCTCCGGATCTGATGATCCCCCGTGTCCCCCACCATCTGCCATCCCGTGGTCTCCAACTACTACTATGGCAGGAGGCAGATCATCCTTGTAAAATTGGTTTAAGTTAAGTTTGTTAGATAATCTTCTACAGGGCAAATGAATATATTTCCATCTCATAAAAATCCTGTCTCTGCAAATGATATGAATCCAAAGAAAAAGATGCATAATTTACATAATTTCTGCTTTAGTTTATTAGAGTAATAATTTTGTTAAAAATACCTTGAACTGTTTACTATTAAGTTGCTCATGTATTTGTTTAATAACTGAACCCATCTCCTCCAGTTTGCCAGGTACCAGTGGTGAACCAGGACCTACATATTTAATAGGACTAACTCCGGGTGTACGAAGCAATTCAGAGAATATACAGGAGACTTATTAAACTGAGGACTATGAAGACGACATTTAAAATATGTTAGTTTATTTGATGTTGTTATAAAGCAAATTTTCATACTAATTTAAAAATATTGATGGGACTGTTATCAGGTACGTTGACAGATTAAAAGTAGTTTCTAGTTTTCCAGATTGAAAGACATTTTCTGTGTTTTTATACTGGACTAGGACTGATTCCAGATTTGAAGGACGGTTTCCAGGTTTTCAGATTTAAATGACGGTTTTCGAGATTTTTAGAATAAAAAGGACTACTTCCTGATTTTCAGATTAAAAGGACGGTTTCCAGATTTTAAAATTCCAGGGCGTGTTATAAAGATTCATCAGGGTTTCAAATTAAAACAACTTTATTCGTCTTTTTTGTTTTGTTGATTAGGTTTTTATATCATTAATAGAATTTCCACAATTTTAGATCAAATGTGCTGTTTCAAAATTAGATGACAGTTATAAATTACATTAACAAGACTTTTTAGATTAAAAGATATTACGATAAATAGAACTAAGATTACCTTGAATGTGTCCTATATGATCCAGTCCTAGATAATGTAGAACCATCACATCCCAGTCATTCTGAACAATTATCACTATATATCATTTTGTTTAACCGTAAAATTTTTTAATACTTTGGAAAAACTTTGTTTGAAAAAAGTTCGAATTTTTAGCCTTTGTTACCCTTAAACAATGTCTATTTTTTTGGCCAAGCCATAACTCATATAGTTAACAGTTACAGATATAAAAACATTCTTTTTGCTAAAAGAATAAAAAAGGAAATATTAATGTTTCCAACTTTAGAAACTGTTCATTTTAAGTGCAGAAACTAAGAACAAACAAAAACTAAAAAATTAGAGAATTGAATTTTTAAGAACCTTTTGTAGTTCAGTGTTCAGATGACGAGTAACATTTTCATCAACCTAAAAAAATATTTTTTCAGTAAGGAGGGATAATAAACTTTTACTGACAATTATCAATCTTTCCCACTCTCTTTAAAAAAGTTCAATACCCTTCAAAACCAGCTTGCTAAGGTTTTACTAAATTTTGACTTCCTGAGACCCTGAATCAGAAACGCTAAAAATGATATTATCAATGCCAATAACTTATGTGAAATTCATTCTTTTAAAATATTTTTCTTGACATTTTCCGGATGCATTATTCATTTACGGTAACAAATTGATGTTTGTGAATTGAAACGGTTTCAACCTTCTCTTCCTTCTTCTCCACCTGTGTATAATCTGTTACGTAGAAGGATGAGGTTGGATCCTCTCGGAGAAATTTAACAGGACTAATCCTGCTCCAGGTCTCATCTCCGAACATAACTATCTTAGATCCTAAAAATCAAAATCATCCCTAAGATTGCAATCATTTAACGCAAGATTTTCTTTAAAAGTAAAGCTTTTTCAAAATTGAAATATAGTCCTGACCTATTTTTGAGCGCTACGGCTAGGACAGCCTTGAGGGCCGAGCGCTGCGGCTAAGACAGGAAAAAATCATTATTCGTTATAAATTGATATTTTACTGTTTGCTTTTCACCTTTTAGGTTATAAAATACAGCTGGCCAAGACTGAGGGCCGAGTGTTTAGGCTTTAAAAGTGAGAGAGCTGAGAGCCCTGTTGAACTAATAATGTTTTCTAATCCCTGTAGGACCATCAACACTGGCCATCACAGTCTAACCAAAAATCAAAAAAAAACTCGCACAGAGACCTCTTGCAATGAAAGTTTTAACATCTCATTATCTATTGGGGGTGCTGACGGGTCGGGTAACTCGTTTTACTTCTAAGTTCGCTTAGATGACAAATGGGACCCTTCGCTATAAATAAAACTCACCTGCCCTGTCCCACTGCTGTAGCAGAGAATCTTCAAACAGAGTTTCCGAGTTCAGATTGTTTATAATATCAACATAGGCTGGCAGACTTCCAGTTAACATCGCCTGAATAGTGGAACAGTTTTAAGTCTGTGGAAGGTTGAGAGGTAAGGTACAAAAAAAATTCAAAATGATTGAAAATCCATATTAGTGATAGAAAGTTTAAAAGAAGGGATCAAATATTACTATTCTGCTGTACTTAATTTTTAAACAGTTCTTGGGAAGGATACATTTCACTATAAGCGACTAAAAGAGCAGATCGGGATCCTTCAAGGGAAATGTATCCGGAGAGGTTCTCAGCAGAAGGAAGCTGGGCGAGACACTAACCTTTAGTCTGGGTAGTGTAACTGTAGGAGGGCTAGAATCCTAACCTTTATTCTGGGTAACGTAACAGTAGGAAGATTAAAATTCTAACCTTTACTCTGGGTAACGTAACAGTAGGAGGGTTGGAATTCTAACCTTTACTCTGGGTAGTGTAATAGTAGGAAGATTAGAATTCCAACCTTTACTCTTGGTAGTGTAACAGTAGGAAGATTAGAATTCTAACCTTTACTCTGGGTAGTGTAACTGTAGGAAGATTAAAATTCTAACCTTTACTCTGGGTAACGTAACAGTAGGAGGGTTGGAATTCTAACCTTTACTCTGGGTAGTGTAACAATAGGAAGATTAGAATTCCAACCTTTACTCTGGGTTGTTTAACAGTAGGAAGATTAGAATTCCAACCTTTACTCTGGGTAGTGTAACAGTAGGAAGATTAGAATTCCAACCTTTACTCTGGGTAGTTAACAGTAGGAAGATTAGAATTCTAACCTTTACTCTGGGTAGTGTAACAGTAAGAAGATTAGAATTCTAACCTTTACTCTGGGTAGTGTAACAGTAAGAAGATTAGAATTCTAACATTTACTCTGGGTAGTGTAACAGCAGGAAGATTAGAATTCCAGCCTTTACTCTGGGTAGTGTAACAGTAGGAAGATTAGAATTCTAACCTTTACTCTGGGTAGTGTAACAGTAGGAAGATTAGAATTCCAACCTTTACTATGGGTGGTGAACAGTAGGAAGATTAGAATTCCAACCTTTACTCTGGGTAGTGTAACAGTAGGAAGATTAGAATTCCAACCTTTACTCTGGGTAGTGTAACAGTGGGAAGATTAGAATTCTAACCTTTACTCTGGGTAGTGTAACAGTAAGAAGATTAGAATTCTAACCTTTACTCTGGGTAGTGTAACAGAAAGAAGATTAGAATTCTAACCTTTACTCTGGGTAGTGTAACAGCAGGAAGATTAGAATTCCAGCCTTTACTCTGGGTAGTGTAACAGTAGGAAGATTAGAATTCTAACCTTTACTCTGGGTAGTGTAATAGTAGGTGGGTTAGAATTCTAACCTTTACTCTGGCTAGTGTAACGGTAGGAAGATTAGAATTCTAACCTTTACTCTGGGTAGTGTAACAGTAGGTGGGTTAGAACGAATAACTACTCCAAGGCAATCCTTCTTCTCTAATAGTTCAACAAGGAAGGAGATCTTAAAAATAAGTAAAACTTTAAGTGCTAAGGATTCCGATTCTAGATAAATCCAGCAGAACATGAATTAGAAAATCTTTAATTTCTATTGTTTTACAATTTTTCAAATATTAATTATTATTCTTTATTTCAGCCCAGTTGAAGTCTTAGCAACGTTTGTTTTTTTGAGAACCTTCACACCCCGAGAAAATTAGGCATTTATGAAATTTGAATTTTCAAGGGAGTAATAGATTTATAATGAAATATATTTTTTTAAACGAATATTTTTTTAAACATGCATGTTGTCAAATTTTTAGTGTAACAAAACAACTGAACCTTTGGACGAGGAACGGTTTTCTCATCGGTCGTGACATCATCAAAAAAAAAATCAGCTCTAAGAGCATCTATCAGAACAATGACAAGCTGTCCAACTCGTTTCCTTCAAATTAAAGATAATGAATGATTAGATAGGATTCCAGTTTTTATGATAAATAACCTTACTTCTTGATATGAGTGGGTTAGATCAGTCTTGGATCAATTCGAGACGAACTGATCAAGGAAAGAGATCTAATAAATCAGATCTCTACCCACAACCCCTGTTTCCATGATAGATCCAAGAGCAAACTAAAGTTAAATATTTTTGATGCTTTAAAGGTTGAGATGCCATATTTAACTGTTAAAGTCCATAAATTTTACAATATCCCTAAACTAGGCGGGTCTGTCCTAGTGAACGATTTTTGGACCCACCCCCCGCCCTCCTATCAATTTTGTACATGACGAAATTAGTATTTATTTAGCATTATTTAGGGTTAGGTTAGGTTGAGACACTTTCTGGGCCGAGCGCTGCGACTAGGATGGGCTAGGGGGCCGAGCGCTGCGGCCACGGGTTAGGTTAGTTAAGACACTTTCTGGGCCGAGCGCTGCGGCTAGGACAGGCTAGGGGGCCGAGCGCTGCGGCCACATGGTCAGTTATATCCATGTCTAACATATAAGATCCATGTACAAAAGGGGGGGGAGCTGGGGGGGGGGTCTATAAATCGTTCTCTAGGAATGAACCAACTAGGCTTTATTTTAGCTTCCTATGTGATATAATACAATATTTGATATATCAATTGATCGGAGGTAAAAACTTATGATTAAATCAAGGATGTAAGTTTAAGCGCATTACGGATAGATTTAAAACAAAAAAGGTTTTACTTCTGTCAGAATAAATCGTAATTATTTTACCTCCATACAGGGGGAACAGTCGAGATATCAGAGATTTCATCGCTAGCTAAAATACAATAGTTTAAGGATAATGGATGGAACATTACTAGTTTCAGGACAAAATTAATGGAATTACTTGATGAAAATCTAGGCGCAATTTCAAGTTTCTTCTCAATTTTAAATAAAATATGCTTACAAGGAACTCACAATAACTATTAGTTTTTTTTTAAATTGCAAAACGTGTCCTTTAACTGCTAGCAATGTGGCCGTGTGTGCACCCACATGACTTACCTTGCTTAGCAGGAAGGTATCCTATTATAAACATTGCAAGAGCTGCAGTGAGCAGCAACAGACGCAGCTCTCTATACATCGTAAAACAGATGTATAGAGAGCAGAAATCTGAAAAATTCAAAAGTATACTTCTTTCAAATAGTCACAAATCAAAATAATAATTTGCTCTGGTGCCGCGTATTTTTTTGTAAAGTTAAAAAGGAAGACGACAACTAGGAAAACATTTGCAAAACGGATTCTTTTTTGACTAATCTGTGAAGCTGCGCCGTACACTTTTCTGCCACTTGTCATTACTTGTTAGTCACTAAAAAATCTTTTATATGTTTATGTCATTCATATTTTATCAAACAGATTTTAAATAATAAATTTAAGTCAAAAGCTTCAGTTTAGAAACAAATTATGATTGATTGTTTTCAGGGGGGGGGGGGGGTGACAGGACCTTTGCACTTTCCTGACGGAGCCCCCCTGAAATATCAGAATAGCTTCTTAAAAGCACCTAGGAAAGAAAACTTAGCACTAAACAGGACTTATAAAAAGATCTAATGTAGCGCGTCTTTTGGTTCCTAAATCTGGATTAGGACAAATCTAGCACCCCCCTCGTTGAAATCCTGTATCCGCCCCTGATTGTTTAACAGTGATTTGTTCATTAAAACGGTGTTATTTTTCAGATATCCAAATATTTATTTTATGTTTTACTTGCGTTGAATCTAAATTATTTCCGTCCGATTAGGTTCCCAAATATTATACTTAAAAATGACAGAAGCTGTGGCAACCGGAGATAAAAAGCCGGATACTGTCCCTGAAACTAAGGTTTGTACTTTCTTATCATTGGGCTGAAATATGATGTTTTTATGAAGGGGGAGGGGTCTCGGGGCTGTACATTGTCACAATACTCCTCTTAAATGCATTTGTCTAGTGTTTCATGTTGAGAATGGACAAAATGAATATATTCTCATTATCTTTTCATTTACAAACATGATATTAATTGTAGCTAGCATTGAATTATAATGATTTCAACTTATATTTAATTTTCCCGTTCATAAATTTATTCTATAATGGATCCTGTAATCCCGCAATATATTCAGATGTCGTATTTGTTACAGCGAATATTTCAGAAAGAAAGAATATATTCTAAATTAAAAGCACAAGAAAGCACTGCGGTCATATATAAAAGATTTAGGGACTCTAGCTGCGCCCAAAATCCTTGATTTAGTCAGAGTAGCGTGTTGAATAAGCCCATCGTTAGAGTTTTCAATGAAATAGCTGGTTTTCGGTCGAAATTCTTAACCAAAACATTACATATTTAAACAACTTAAAGAGACTTTTCTCAAACAAAAATTCTTTAGCGCCCAAGCCTTATTTGACATAGATAAGAGGTTTATGAAATGAATTAATTTTGGCTGACCCTCCCATAATACTCCACTGTGCGGGAGGGGTCCAAAAATCGTTCTCTAGGAAATTACTATGGATTTAATTTGCAGGGTTGGCTGTTTAAGTGGACTAATTATATCAAAGGATACCAGAAGAGGTTAAAGATGATTCACTAATCTTGAATACCTATATTATTAATGAATCCTTTTTAATTGATCTTGAGTTTTAAACATGCAAAATTAGTCAGTTTATGTTGAAATTGTAAATTGATCAATAATTTAATTAGTTAGTTATCGTGATTATAGCTTGAATCAAATTATAGATCAATAAATAGAAAAATTAGTAAGTAATTTATAAGCACTAATATGAATAACTAGATTTGAAAAGAATTCATGATTAGTAGATTTATAACAAAATGATAAATGCAATATATTAATGATCGTAAGATGAATTACTAAGTGAATGATGAAATGAATTAATGATCTTCGATTAATAACCAAAAAAATAGTTAAAGGAATCATTGATCACAAGATGAATAACGAAATAAATAAATAAACAAATTATTGATCACAAGATGAATAACCAAATAAATAATGAAATGAATTATTGATCACAAGATGAATAACAAATAAATATTTAAATAAATTTTTGATCACAATATGAATAACGAAATAAATAATGAAACGAATCATTGATCACAAGATGAATAACCAAATAAATAATGAAATTAATTATTGATCACAATATGAATAACGAAATAAATAATGAAACGAATCATTGATCACAATATGAATAACCAAATAAATAATGAAATGAATTATTGATCGCATGATGAATAACCAAATAAATAATGAAATCAATTATTAACCAGAAGATTTAAGTTTTTATTGTTTACAAGCTTTTTTCGAAATACAAGTTTACAAGTAATCAACGAGAAGCTTTTTTAATCGACAGCTTCTCTTTGTTTCCATGTTTATGTGTATCCATACTGTTTAAAAGCTTCATATAGATAAAAATTTGAAAACTAAACTTGTCTTCATTGTAATGATATAATCGCCTACCACTGTATAAAATAAGGTGAATAATTGGATTGAATTAAGATGAACTAATTTGTTTATTTTGGGATCATTTTTACGCAAATAGGTCAGGATCAATACACTAACCAAAAAAATAATGATTATTTGGATTACTTAATTTCCAAGACGGATTCTTACCCGATCGGTTTTTAAAATCATTTGTTTTTAATTTAATGCATTAAAATATTAGCTCAGTTTATGGCTAAGTGAATGAAAATATGGATTGATTGAAAGGATGGGGATAAACAAATTAATGAATCATCTGTGTTGAAACCTAGATGGTTTGTTCTCCAGAATGGATTATTATCCTACTACAGAAACCAAGCAGAGATGGCCCACACTTGCAGGTCAATGATTAAAACATAAATTTTTTTTCCTCCAGGAGTATTTATTTGAATAATTGGGGAAATAATTATATTCAAAGAATTAGGAAAAAAATTCCCCCAACCCTTTTAGGTAAGATTTTTTTTTAGCAAAATATTCCATAAAAATACTGATACTGGGGAAAAGATTATTTAAGATGGAGGGGGGGGGGGAGAATTTTAGAAATATATATTCCTGGAACTTTAAAGCATCAAACCGTCAAAGTTTCTCTTTTTGCATAATCATCGTTAGTAAACTAAATATTTAATTAACACCTTCCGGTAAGAAGAAGGGACAGAGATAATAAATAGAATTAAAAATATAGCACTGCGCACTGAGAAAGCTAATGCACTCTTTATTGGTAGACGTTCCCTCCAGTTCTTAGGATTTAATTAACTTCAATGCGGATCTAGATCTAGGAAGCTAAAACTTATGGATCCAGTGGATGATTTTTTAATAATTGTTTAACATTTTTTCAGAGGAACCATATCTCTACATGGGGCAATTATACATACAGAGCAATACAGCTGTAATTTTGTTGTAAGGTAAATGTTTTATTGTGTAAGGACTTTTTTCTTTTCTTCTTTACCCTCTCAAAAGTTTTGAGGGCACTTTGGGTTAGGCTTACAGTCTAACAATTTTTTAGACTAGATGGTGGATCTTTGGCTTTTCTTACTTTGAAAAATATTTTGGCCTTTAGAAATGACGTTTTTTTGACAAGAAAGATCTGGTAAAAATTCTATTGTAAAAAAACAAAGGACGTTTTTCCGTTGATCATTGTTTCTTCTTTTCAATATTTGTTTTTAGTAATTGCATCGATGCTCAGATGCCGACTGTTTAGTTTTCAATTTATTTAAAGTTTAATGCTTTCATTTTGGTTTTAACTTATTTATAAGAATCGGTATCAATTTCCTAATCTTAGAAAATTTATTTAGGGTTTTATAACATTAGCATACTTAAGTTTCGATTATATCCTAATTGCTGATGATGTTTATAGTAATGGTGGTGGCACACAGACCTTTCATCTTCGAGCTGCAAACGAAGTAGAACGTCAGAAATGGGTGACTGCACTAGAACTTGCTAAAGCTAAGGCAAAGTTCTTAATTAATACCACACAAAAACCAAAACATAGAAAAATGTGTTTGCTCCCCCCCCCCCGGAAAAAAATGAAAAATTCTACATTATAATGCAAGTTTTTTTCATCCTTTTTGATATTTTTTCTCTTCAAAAATTATTTGTTTGACTCTTAAAAATAGTTTGTTATTTTCCCAATTCAGCGAAGAAAACTCAAACAACAAAAAACCCGAATCCGCATTCAAAAGAAATGGACTAGCACTGCTTTATGTCTTAAAGAACAACGCTTTGAAAGAAACGAAAATATGCATTGTAAACATTTTGTAAATGAAACTACGTTTATTTCTCAGCACTAACAACAAATAACATGTCATAAATACAGTGCTACCCACAAAAGGATGAGACTTATGACGACTCGTTGATTATAGCTGTCTTAATGTTAGATTTGGTTTTTCTGCCTCTAGTATAGGCTTTGAACGGTTTAAAAAAATGGTTTGGTAAATAAGGAGGAGCTATAATTCAACTGCAGGGAACCAGAGGTGAACGAAAACGACTCAATAAATTCCATCCAGTTTTCTCTGAAGTCTACCCTTGTGGGTAACTTTGTATCAGAATCTTTTTTTTTCCCTGATTTCCTAAAATTTATCGTAAACCGCAATAAGATATCGATAACAATAATATTCAGTTATAATTAGTGCTTCCATATTCATGGAGAACTTTATTAGTTTCTTCAAGGTTATATTTCATTTTCTTTTTTGAAAATATTTAGTTTATGAAGATGGGGGGGGTGGGGTCAATTTGTATTTTAAAAGAACAGATTTCTAGGATGCTACACCTCTTAAAAACGACTATCATCCGATTCGTGTAAACACCAACATTTTGGAAATAAGCAAACATTATACTTTCAATTTACAAAAAGAATTGTTATTATTTTTAGTTAAACTCGAAACCTTAACTTGGCGTCTTTGATTGGAAAAATACGTATAATTTCATGCTTATCGGGAAAATTGCATCAATGAAAAAGTGTAAACATTTTTGAATCCTCCTAACCGGCGTGGCGAGGAGAAAAGTCCTAAAAAATTGACTCGATCTGTTGTTGTTCTTTTGTTTTGGAAATAAACAAGGTTTTCTATTCAGGCAATCCAATTGATGGAATCTGATGATGAGGAGGAAGGGGAAGAGTTCCCTGTAGAGATAGATAAACAGGTCTGTATCCCCCCCCCCTCCTCCCTTTTATTTGTCACGCCTTTCCCCCTAACAATAGCCCTTCCTCTCTAGTCTGTGTGCCCCTCCCCTAATTTACTTATCACCCCCTTCCCCCTAGCAAGAGCCCCCTCCTCTTTCTACACTCATCCTCTCGTTATAAATATTTAAGCGAATTTCCCAATTGAAGGTTAATACGCAATAGAAATACTTTATTTTGCTTTCATTTCGATTTTATTCTTTTTAAGTCTTAGAAATAAGAATAAATAAAAGAGAAACGAAAAAAAAAATACTAACTCCATCTTTCGGAGCCAATATCTAAAAACTAAAAACTATAACTAAAAGGGAATTAGAAAAATATCCATTCTTCTGTATAAAGAAGCTGAAATTTCTCTTTGATCCAGGAATTATAATTTTTTTGTTCATTTCATTTAGAATCTGAACTTTTTATTCATTTGATACAGAATGTGATTTTTTTTAACGTATATAATTCATTCTTGAACTAGTAAACTTATTTCGAGTTTGGGGGGTGGATAGTAGAACTTTCTAACAGCATAATTTTACTTGATTTGACGTGATTCAGAATCTAAACTATGTAAAGCATATGATTCAGAAGCTGAATTTTGTTATTCATATGATTTAGAACTTAGAAGTTGACTCAGATTTAGAACTTTTTTATTTGAATGATTTAAAACATGAATTTTTTATTATTTGATTTGAATTTTAGTTTTTTATTCAGATAATTGAGAATTTTAACTTTTTTATCCATGTGATTCAGAATTTGAATGTTTATTCATATGAATTAGAAGTTGAACTTTTTTATTTAGAATCAGAAATTTTTATCTAAATGATTCAAAACCTGAATTTTTTTTAAAGATTTGATTCTGAATTTCAATTTTTTTTATATAATTCAGAATTTTAACTTTTTTTATCCATGTGATTAAGAATTTGAATGTTTTATTCATATGATTCAGAATCTGAACTTTTATTGTTATGATTCAGTATCTGAACTTTTATTGTTATGATTCAGTATCTGAACTTTGTTATTCATTTGGTTCAAAATCCTAACTTATGTATTCCTATGCTTCAGGAGCTTAACTCTGCTGTAAAGACAATGTTGGGACGACTAGAAGAATTAAAAACGTGTCACGACCTTATTGAGAAGCATGGTCATGCCCTCCAGGTACAGTTTATGTTGTAAAGTTTTATACATTTTAAGATTTTCTCGACCGTTTTTAATGTATTATTGTCGCCTCGTAACATACACATGAAGCTACTTGTAACACTATACTTTTAATGTAAAAAGAAATTTTGGCACACTTTTTATGGATTTTATTTTTTGTCAACTAGCTAACCCTATTCTATTCTAGACAAATAGCTCAACCTATTTTATTCTAGACAACTAGCTAACCCTATTCTATTCTAGAGATCAGTGGCTGAGGTAGAAGGAGTAGCTACTGAGCTCCAACAAGCTACCCTGGACACACAGCTGAATCCTAAACTGAAGATCTTGAATGAGAGAGCTACTCTCTTCAAGATAACCAGCAACGCCATGATGAATGCGTGTAATCAGTATCTAGAACTCACACAAACTCAGGTAATGTAGAGTAAACTTCTGACTTAGGTCAGAGTAAAAAGTACAAAGTGCATAGAACTATGTACAACAAATTACAAAGTACATATTACAATGAAAAGAGTTATAACATACTTCACTGTGAGATACAAAGGAATTACTTAGTCTAAAGTGCAGAGTACAAAGTACATAATACAGAGTACATAGTAATTACAGATGTCAGAATAAACCAATACGGATAGATGACTCAGTTTAAAGTATATAGTACTAAAAAATATAATTCAGAATAAACAAATACAAATGGATGTCTCAGTTCAGAGTACAGAGTTAGTACAAAGTAAAGAGAGAGTATAGAGTACAAAACTTAGTACAGTGCATAACGCTCAGAGTACAAAAATGTGATTTGTTTAAGAATTTATAATGAAAATTTTTTTATAAATTTTAACAGTAAATCTTTAAAATTGATTTGATATGAACTTAATATTTATTTGTTTGAAAAATACAAATCAGTTTAAAAATCTTGATATGACAAGATTTTATTATGATTATAGCGGTTAATACCAGTCTTAATATCTCACATGTGTGAGATGGAGGGGGAGGGCGGTCAATCTTTAGAGGAAATTATCAAATTACATTTAACCCGTGAATTATGATATTATAATGAACTCGGGAACTAAATATAAAACATGAGGTTCTAGAATTTAAGTTAATGATTATATTAACATATTAATTATTTTTAATCAAATTTATAAATTGTTTAGTAGGGTTATAATTTCCCAAAATATAAGAATGTAGTTATTTTTATGACTCTTCTTATGTACTTTGGGAAAACCTTAGTTTTAAAAAATATTAAACTTATAATTTTATTGTACAGTGTACACTGTGTGACTGTGCAATTGCATATTACTGTTAATTGTATTCAGATTGCAGTGCACACTGCACCCTTTGTAACCAATTGTTAGAAGTTATTTGCATTCCTTAGGGGTCATTTCAATTTACGTCTACGGTTTTTTTTTTAAAATCATTCTTATTTTATAAATTATATATTGCAAGGGAACACCCCTGAAATCAGGATCTAACCGGTTTTTAAACTGGAAAATACAGTTTTACATCTAAAATTAATGTGATGCTTTGTCTAGGGGAGAAAGTGGCAGAGATTGCTGGCACATGAACGAGAACAGAGATTGCGCTTAGAAGAGATGGTGGAACAGTTGGCTAGGCAGCATAGTCAGGTATGGGGAGAGAAGGTTAACCTGGAATATAAAGTTTTGATAAAAATGACCTTCCCCTCATGAAAAAAACATCTTTCTCATTGTTAAAAATGTTTTTATTTTAAGAATTGTAGGAGCGCAAAAAATGTAAGAAAATAATGATTTTTTGATAAAATGTCCAATTTTAATAAATGGAAACAAAATATATTTCTCTGTGGGCTGCATTAACTGTACTTTTATATTCTTATTTAGGTGTCATTGAACCGTCCTAAATTGTTGCAATAGAAATCATACGTATCCTCCCCCCTCTCACATGTTTTCTTACTCCTATTAGGTTGAATCTAAAATCAAAATCTTTGCAAAGCATTATTCAACACTTTTTATCGGCGGATTTAATTTAGTTGGAGAATCAATGCAAGAAAACGACAGCTACAGTAGTCCAGGCGCGACAAGATCAACAAGTTCGACAAGAACAAAGTGCGCATCAGGACACGCGGCCGGAGAGTGGATCAAATTCGGAGGATGAAGACGACTTTCAGGTTTGAATTAGGATCATAGTTTCGATTGGGATCAAGTATACTTTATGGGATACTTCAATTTCTCACTTATGAAATTATCTGATGCAAATTTTTGTTCGTTAATTTATAATTGATAACATTAAAATGTTTCATCATTTAAACAATTAATTTTAGTTTTTATTTTAATTTAATTAGTTTAATAATTTAATTTACAATTTTCGTGAATTAAATTCTTTGTTTCTTAATACAATTTCATAATTTTACAAAAATAACTTTCATTTTAAGTCCACAGTTTGTTAAAAATAGATAAGATTTTTTTCTTGAAAAATGTGAATTGTGAATTATTAAATTTTTATTTATTTTTAGTTATTTATTTTAAGGATGCTGTAGCAGACCCTGATTATGAAGATTTTACTGTTTCCGCTCCTCCACAGAAAAGGTAAAATAAAAGAATAAAAATAAAATAAAAATATTCTGTTTCTTTTCGTTTTTTTGGAAAGCCGAGTTTTCTGATGCTAACAAAGAAATTAACTAGGATTCGGGGGTACATTTTTTCCTGGTATTTGTATGATTATAATTTTTATTCTTATTTATTTTTAAAGATACTTTTAAAGAAAAACAGGTCTTTCGATTATCCAAATAAGGTTTAAAAATCTGCCAATTTTCAGAAAAAGTCGGCTAGAACATGAGCAGATCTACACTGTTTGGAACTGTAACAGAAGACACCAATGATGTCATACTTTATTTCTTCAAAATCTCATTGCCATCTATTGTACTCGATAAACTATTTGCCCTCAAAATTTAGTATAATCAGTTTCAAGTCGTAGTTCTAGTTCTAGCCATGAGAGCTGCGTTTCTGAAGAAACAGATAAATTCCTATTAGCTACTGTTTCTAGGCGTAGTTCTACCCGGAGCAGCCATGAGAGCTGCGTATCTTAAGAAGCAGATAAATTCCTATTATCTACTGTTCTTCTAGGGTAGTTCTAGCCGGAGCAGCCATGAGAGCTGCGTATCTTAAGAAGCAGATAAATTCCTGTTATCTACTATTTCTAGGCGTAGATCTAGTCGGAGCAGCCATGAGAGCTGCGTTTCTGAAGAAACAGATAAATTCCTATTAGCTACTGTTTCTAGGCGTAGTTCTAGACGGAGCAGCCATGAGAGCTGCTTATCTTAAGAAGCAGATAAATTCCTATTATCTACTGTTTCAAGGCGTAGTTCTAGCCGGAGCAGCCATGAGAGCTGCGTATCTTAAGAAGCAGATAAATTCCTATTATCTACTGTTCTTCTAGGGTAGTTCTAGCCGGAGCAGCCATAAGAGCTGCGTATTTTAAGAAGCAGATAAATTCCTATTATCTACTATTTCTAGGCGTAGATCTAGTCGGAGCAGCCATAAGAGCTGCGTTTCTGAAGAAATATATAAATTCCTATAATCTAATGTTTCTAGACGTAGTTCTAGTCGGAGCAGCCATGAGAGCTGTGTATCTGAAGGAGCAGATAAACCTGAAGAGGAAGATGAGTTCTCTAGTGATCTAGAGAACAACAGCTCAACTATCAATGTGGTGCACAGGTAATCAGGAATCCTTTTATTTTCTTCANCCCCCCCCAACACAAAAACACATACCCAGAAAGGGGAAATTTAAATTTGTGGGAATTCTATTAAATAATTTTAAAAAATATATAGTTTAGGTCTCATTTACATTTTCCAGCCATCCTCTTAAAGCTTCAGAAATCATTAAAGTCGAATTATTTTTAAATAAAGACACCCATCAAACTTTGCATTATGGACTTAATATGTATGGACTTATAGTGTATCTAAATTTATACCATTCATATTTCTTAGGAGATCTAAGTCAGATTCAGCAGATGGTCAAGCATCTCCTTCTACTCCTGTTAAACGTAGTACAGGTAATAAATATTCCTTTAGTACCGATAATACAACCTACTCGGTCCATTGTCATAAATTTTTTTACTTTAAATGTCTGGTTCCCAAATTTAAGAATTTGCCATCCAAGATCCCTGTCCCCGTGAATTTCTCCGAACCTCTTTCCATGCTTCAGAGATTAGTGGAAGACTTTGAGTACAGGTTTACATAAGAACTTATTTATTTCTTGCTTGAACTCAAATCCGTGTACTTTGTAATTTTATTTTAAACCCAGTTTTTAAAAGAACTATCGTTGTAATTTTAAGTGCCCCTCCATTTAGAGAGTGACATCCAACACAGCATCAATTGCTAAGATGAGCATCAGCTCTCTTTATAATGTATCTTTGCAAGGTTATAATGCAAGGAAAGTTAATTACAGTTTCGTATACTCTGCGTACATAATGCAACCAGTTCTCTCTGGGCGGTGTTTGTAAACAAGAATATATGCATCAGTTTAGTATCCAAGGAGATTAAAAGCATTAAATTTTAATAATTTTGATAATTCAAATAATAGTTTCCTATGGCCAGAATATTTCATTGATTTTTTATTTTAAAGATGGACCCCATGTCAGGCTTTGACATCCGTCTTGTGTTTACATTACCGCCCAGAGACAGTGCACTGCAGTAAAAAAGATGCGTACACCTCTGATTTATCTTTCCTTGCATTATAACCTTGTATCTATCTATATAACATGCCGTAGTGCCCGGTTCACAACCGTGCCCTTGAGAACTTATAAAACGCTTAAATTAATGTTAAAAGTTTCTACTAATGTTAGTTTCTACGACTGTTAGATTGAATGTATAAATGATAAATGATAAATTGAACAGCGTTTAGTCAAAACATGAACGTTTGAACGAATTGATTGATTGATTGATTGATTGATTGATTGATTGATTACATAGTGATGTGCTGGATAAAGCTGCCTCCTGTTCGGATGATTATGAACAGATGGCGTATGTTGCTGCTTTTACTGTCAGCTCATACAGGTGATCTAACAATAGTATAAAATATGAGGGGGGTCTAAAGTGGAGACAAAATTGACAAGTTGCAATACATTTAACACTAAATTTCCCCTTAAAAATTATTTTTTCCTATTTAGCATTAAAAAAGTAAAAGAAAAGATAAAACATGTTTTTGCTAGGCGCATATATCCATGCGCAAAGTTGTCTGGTTGTTTGTGATCATAACTCAAGACCCCCATGACCGATTTGCCTCAAATTTTGATTGGGGAATTCAGGAGAACCACGGGAATTTTCTTAGTCTGGTTCAGGTTTTGAGAGTTTAAGTTATGGGGAACGACTTTTAATGCGAACATTTAATTTCCTGGTGAAATCGTCCAAGCGCGGGTACACGGCGGGACTGACTATAAGTACCTTGGGTAAACTCTAGGTTCCCAAGCTAGTTCATGATGAACAGTGAGAAAAATTATTATTAAAGAAGCCAGAGGGGAGTTTTTGAGATTCCTTTTTATAATTTCCCTTTATGCTAATTTCCCCGTTCTTGTCCAGGGGAGTTTATTCTTACAGTTGAATTGCCCCCACCCCTTGTCATTTTTGCCCAGAATTTTCATAGCCGAAGGGTAATAAAATCGGCTTTTTCGCAAATTAGTTATTTTAGCAACTAAATCACTTTTTCTTTTTTTCTTTTTCTTCCCTGGGCTGAATTCTTTCCACACTCCCTAAGGGGTGGGGGGGGGAGTAAGAATATACACTTCCTTCCCTGTTCTTGCCACCCCCACTCCCAACCCAAAACGGAGTATGTGCACTTTTCAGTTTTTAGTCTATCTCTATAACTTTCAGCGTCGGAACAATAGAAGTGCACAACTATTTAACCAATGTATTGTTTATACGCCACCCCGTACACAGAATAATCAAGTCTAGTATATAGTTTTAGAATTTATTTCTTGATCATCTAGCTGTGAAGCTGAAATATAACAATAATTAGTATTATATATTTATAAAATGTAATGTATGGTAAAATCTTGCGACCAGACAAAGTTACTTAACAATACACATTAAAATCCAATATTTCAAAATGTTACGTCTGGTGATATGTTGTGACCAGATAAAAGGATTCAAAGCAACATATGAAGACTTTATAAAAGCTTAATCATCAGTTTTAAAAGGCACATAAGAATATTTCACAAAACATAACGACGTCCCAAGCTTTCTAATAAAAATCTTACATTTGATGGCGGTTTGGTTTTCTCACACGCTGATCCAAATGTCTTCAATTAGTGTTTATCAGGTTTCAAGTTCTCCATGTACAGTGTAACTTCTCCTGCGAATGTAAAGAACTATAAGCACTAGTTCATTGTAGGTATTACAGAGTTGGTGTAAATTAGGTTTTATAGATAATAACCTTTTAAATGTGTCCTGTGAACACTGCGGACTGCAATTCTTCCTTATTCCGTAGGATGAACGCACATAGATCAGGATACTCCTGAATCGGTTTAAAGTCAGGTTTAGAACAATCTTATTCGTTTTAGAATAATTTATTGAAGTCAGGGATAATATTCACCTTCTGGAATTGATCTGGAAACAATCCCTCAAGAGCAACAGTGGTACGTGGTATAGAAATGAACGTACGGTCGTCCTCAGATTCTTTCCGCCTGCATAGGAATTATTGTAAACGTTTAACACAAGTTAGATTTAAGCAATACCTGGGAGGTTCTCCAGACTAGCTGTGTACTGTAGATCACCGTGAGATCCCTCTAGATCACCGTAGATTCTTGTTAAAAAGCTGACTGGTAGAGTAAAGTAGATAGGTGGATATAAGATGTAGGATTATTCATCAAACTGTAGATAGGAAGCTCTGGTAAAGATATCTCGTATCAGTCCTGTTCCGCATCTAAAGATCAATCAGTTGAAATCATGGTTCAACATTGATTATATTCTCAAGTAGGAATACAATTTCAATAAGTTCTGTTTATTAACCTGCTTATGTTCGTGAGACAACCCTAGCCTCTTTTGGAGCCTCAAGAACTCCGGGTTACTGATCAACTCTTGATGATCAACTGGATCAAACAACTGCAATACAACTAATGAATTTGAGTCTTTATATGATCTCCGAACAAAGTTTGCTAACTATTTGTACCTTGAATGTCATTTGATTTAACGAGTCACTTCTTGAGATGGGAGGGAGTAAGTCTATAGTGATCTTGATCTCCCATGATCATCTGCAACATGACAGCCATTAAAACTCGAAAGTCGAAAGCTTGGGATTGATATAAAAAATCATTTACAGAGTTACATTTAAATTGTGCCATTAATATTTTCTATAAAATGCTTGTTAATAAATATGCTTGATAACTTACAGTTTCATTTCATATCGTAATTTTTAAAACACAGGTAGAAATTGCATTTAACATTATTTTAACTTGAATAGTGCGGGATTAATAAGAGTTTATTGTTCATATTCAATCACCCTGCATAAAAAGTTCTTGACAGGATCACACTGATTCACAAATCTTCTCACAGGCTGTAGTTTATCCTAGAATAATAGTTTAGATTTTACAGAGTATTACATTATTTGGCCGTAATTCTTGTTTCATTTATTTTTCTGTTTTTAGCACAACGGCAGTTAGAACTGGCAAACCATTTAATCCACTTCTAGGGGAAACTTTTGAATGTGACAGGTAACAATAAACTTTTGAATGGGATAGGTAGCATTAAACTTTTGAATGTGACCGGTAACAATAAACTTTTGAATGGGACAGGTAGCATTAAACTTTTGAATGTGACAGGTAACAATAAACTTTTGAATAGGATAGGTAGCATTAAACTTATGAGTGTGACAGGTAGCATTAAACTTTTGAGTGTGACAGGTAACAATAAAATTTTGAATGTGACATGTAACATTAAACTGTTGAATGTGACAGGTAACAATAAAATTTTGAATTTGACAGGTAACTATAAACTTTTGAAACGGACAGGTAGCATTAAACTTTTAAATGTGACAGGTAAAAATAAACTTTTAAATGTGACAGGTAAAAATAAACTTTTGAATGTGACGGGTACCATTAAACTTTTGAATGGGACAGGTATCATTAACTTTTAATGTGACAAGGTAGAATTAAACTTCTGAATGTGACAAGTAACATTAAACTTTTAATGGGACAGGAAGCATTAAACTTTTGAATGACACAGATGGAATTAAAATTATGAAAATGAAAAGCAGAATTTACGTTACAGAAGTGAGGATCTAGGATGGAGATGTATATCTGAACAAGTCCTCCATCATCCACCTATGGTTGCACAGTATTGTGAATCAGCAGCTGGTAAGTACCCCCCCCCCTTCCCCCCATCTACATTATACTCCCCCTTCTAAATATCATCAATACTCCCCCAGCCATGCAAAATCGCGTAATTTCAGATGCTTTCAAAATTCTCCTAGGCTTTTTTTATGCAGGAAAGATTTATTTAAAGATTTAATGGATTTTTATGTTAAATCAATTATTTTTTGTTAGTTTTAGATTTTATAGATCATTTTTGGATTGCTACAATATTTTATTTGATTAATTTCCTATTTTTAAAGATAAACCAGAGTCCGAATTTAATGAATTTGAGCCGCGCTAAAATTCATTAAATTCGGACTCTGTTATTTTGGTACTTATACTTAAAGCTTTAATTGATTCTTTTGTAATTAGGAGATTGGAAGTGCTGGCAGGAGTTTACTATGAGATCCAAGTTTAAAGGAAAATATCTTGAGATTGAACCAATAGGTAAACAAGCTTTTTTTTGGACCACCACCACCACTAAAAACCACTGAAACAATTTAACATTACAAAAATGTATTTTTCTTTCTTTTAATTGCTTAGTTAATATTATTAAAAGTAATTTTGTAAATAGCAAACCTTGCTTTTATTAGAGAATATATTTTAGATTTTATATACTCATTAATTAATATTTTATAATTTCACCGCAATAGTTCGGCTTATCTGAGATATTGAAAACATTAAACGTCTTATCTATCGTGCTGTAGTGCAATCTCACACAATGAAGACGTAGTCTAATTATCTCTACTTTAACAAATTCGTTACTATATTTTTTACGGATCACCTCTGACTATGTTTTTGGCTATAGAGAAGAAAAAATTTAGATTATAACAAGTTTTATATATTTCTTGCTTATTAAACTGCTTGATGCAGTATCTTGACAATAAAGAAGAAAAAACATTCGTTGTATTCTATATTTCAATGAAATTTTATTATTCAGGAATCACCCATCTTGAATTCCCAAAGACGGGAAACCATTACACCTGGCGTAAAGTAAAGACGGTTGTCCACAATATTGTGATCGGAAAACTATGGATCGACAACTGCGGTGACATGGAGGTGGTGAACCACAGAACTAATGATAAATGTTACATGAAGTTTGAACCCTACAGCTACTTCGGGGGAACTCCTAAGAAAGTAACAGGGACAGTTAACAGCAGCGCAGATAAGGTATTTAATCCTTATAAAAATATATTTTCAAGGATTTAAGGTTTTACCTCCAAAAAAAACATGTTTTCAAATCGTATTACAGCATTTTTTTGATCTTATTTTTAAGTTTCACGTTATTATAATTTTGCGTCAAAATATGTTTTTTGGTTTTTCCGGTTTTTTTTTAATTCTTCCGTAAATGGCATTTACTGCAATAAAGGGATGTAAAGAAATGGATAAATAACTTATCGATTACGTGATTTTTGCATTGAATATTTTTGTAAGGTTGAGTGGGTTCTAAACGGAACCTGGGATTCAAAACTAGAAGGATCAAAGGTGAGAAAATTATAAAATTAAATCCTCATTTTACGAATCTTTATTGTTGTGTGGATTGTCCATGTTTTCAGTTTAGCCGACGTGTTTGTATGGTTCGTCTTTTACTATAGTTTCCAAAATGTGTTCGTTTAAAGTTCACGTCTCAACCTAAATTGATGTTTAAGGAAAATGTTTTATTGGTTCATGGTCATTAGTTTGTTTGTTAATCGGTTAATTGATTAACTAAATACTTGGCTAATTGGTGAACTGTTTTTTGATTAGTTAACTGGTTGATTAGTTGATTAGTAATCTTTTTGATTAGTTAACTGGTTTATTAGTTATCTTTTTAATTGTTATCTGTTTGGTTAGTTAACTGTTTGATTAATTATTTGTTTGATTAGATATCTATTCGGTTAATTTAGTGTTTGCTTTATTATCTGTTTGATAAGTTATCTTTATGATAACTTATCTGTTTGATAACTTATCTATTTGATAACTTATCTGTTTGATTAGTTATCTATTTGATTAGTTCTCTGTTTAATTAGTTATCTGTTCGATTAGTACTCTTTTTATTGTTAACTTTAAATGTTAGATTAGTTATCTGTTCACTGTTGTTCACTGTTTGATCAGATAAGTGTGTTAATAAGTTAACTCTTTGACCACTGACTCATTGGTTATTTGTGATTGATTGATTGATTGATTGATTGATTATTGATTGATAAGGTGATCGGTGAGGCCATCGTGAAAGGAAAGTCCAGTCTTGAGATCGGTACGAGTAAAGTTCTCTGGAAAAGGATTCCTGCTGATCCAGGATCAGAGAAATATTATAATTTCACAAGGTTCAGTCATTTATTTATTCATTCATCCTTACATTCATCCTTACATTCATCCTTACATTCATCCTTACATCCATCCTTACATCCATCCTTACATTCAGCCTTCCATTCAAAGTTTATTTGTTATTCACTATTTAGCATTTAATCGTTATTTATCATTAAATTATTATTTTTTTTTCATAAATAATTTTTTTTTAAATTCTTTTATTCATCCATCCTTTCTATTCTCATTAGGTCATTTTTGAACATTCATTTATTCAATTTTCAATTTACGTTTTTTAAGTTTTGCTAATTTGTCTTACTTATCCATTAATTTCTTCATTGAATGATTCGTCTTTCTATTCTGACGTGGTTCATTTATTTATTCATGTATTCATCCTTGTATTCATTCAATTATTCATTCGTGTATTCATCCTTGTATTCATTCATGTATTCATTCATGTATTTATTCATTTATTTGTCCTTCCCTTCACTCAGCATTTCATTAAGTCGCACATTTATGCAATCCTTCTAATATAAAACCATAATTTTTGTATTTTAATCATAATTCACTTATTTCATTTATATTAATTTACACAACTAGGCTATCTTCTATTTCAACTTTTAATTGCTCAATCTTTCATCATTTTTTTCTTTGAAAAAACAATAAAAAAAATTCGGATTTACAAGTAATCAAAAATTTGGAGACAATTCGTTGTAATTCTGAGCATCTATAAACCTTCCCTGGGGTCATGTGAGGTCCAACAAAAATTGGGCCCGATTGATTCAGCCGTTATTAAGTATATCGGTTTCAGACGAGCAAAGTTTACATATATTAATATAAATTGCCAATAGATATATTCCCTGATCAGGTTTACCTGTGAGTTGAATGAGCTGGAGGATGGAGTAGCTCCAACAGATACCAGACACAGACCTGATCAAAGGTTTATGGAGGAGGGAGAGTGGGATAAAGCAAATGAAGAGAAGGTACAAACAGAACATTCAAACTTTGCCTTTTTTAAGCGGGATTTAATCTTGTTTTTTTTTTACGTTGCATTTAATCTTGAACGCAACTTTACAAAATTCTTTTGTTACTATGAAAGTGATTTTTAATTAATATTAAATTAGATATTGCGAGCCAAACCATCAAATTCCTTATTTATTCAAGACCAATTTATGGAGGAAGGAGCGTAAATTTCAAGCTTTTCAATATTATGCTGTTATGGTTAGCTACGAGTAGAAGATAAGCAGTGTACAATGAGGAAGCAGCGTGAAGCGTGAAAGCTGCTGTAAAATAATTTCTGTTCTATTTAGCTACGGTAAGAGTAGACGGAGCGCACAGTGAGGAAGCAGCGTGAATTTGAAGCAACTGTATATTATTTTGTTTTATTCAGCTGCGGTTAGAGGAGAATCAGCGAGCTGTGAGAAAGCAGTGTGAATTAGAAGCTGCCGGAAGGAAGCGGCTTGAATAAGAATCAAATTTTTCTATTTATTTACGGTTAGAGAAGAAGAAGTAACGTACAGTCAGGGCGCAGCCTGAATAATTAAATACTCAATTTATATCTATTATGTTCAGCTACGGTTAGAGGAGAAGCAGCGAACCGTAAGGAAGCAGCGTGAACTAGAAGTTACTGTATATTAATGTGTTCTATTCAGCTTCGGTTAGAGGAGAAGCAGCGAACTGGAAGGAAGCAGCGTGAACTGGAAGATACTGTATATTAATGTGTTCTATTCAGCTACGGTTAGGGGAGAAGCAGCGAACTAGAAGGAAGCAGCGTGAACTAGAAGTTACTGTATATTAATGTGTTCTATTCAGCTACGGTGAGAGGAAAAGCAGCGAACTATAAGGAAGCAGCGTAAACTAGAAGCTGATGTATGTTAATTTGTTCTATTCAGCTACGGTTAGAGGAGAAGCAGCGAACTGTTAGGAAGCAGCGTAAACTAGAAGCTGATGTATATTAATGTGTTCTATTCAGCTACGGTTAGAGGAGAAGCAGCGAACTGTAAGGAAGCAGCGTGAACTAGAAGCTGAATTAGCACAACAGGAAGGAAGACCTTATATCCCGTACTCGGCAACTTGGTATTCACAGGTAAACTTGTTTTTTTAAAGGGATTGTTCCATTTTTTATTATAGGAGTAGAGTTTACAAATAACACATACTCCATGGTTTATATTTTATTCTTCAAAATTTTTGAAAAATTTCTAAATAAAATACAAATTAGCATTTCTTTTGACCTAAAAATGTTAAAAATTCATTTTCTAGTCGGTTTTTAAGAACAGTATTTTGACAAAATGTTTATATTATAAGAACATTTTTATTTCGTTTTAATTGGTTTTTTTAGACTCCGGATCCATATAACGGCGGTAAATCAATCCATACATACCAGGGAGGATACTGGGAATCAAAACAGAAACAGAACTGGAGTAAATGTCCAGATATTTTCTAAACTATGTCTTCGCAGCAAGAGTCAGGACTTTTCTGAACCATGCACCGTTTTGCAGCTAGGTGCTGAATTATCAAATTATATCGAGAGCGTTCGTGAATTTAGGAAGGGAATACATTATCAAAGAAATTTGATTTGATCTTGCGATTGTAACTTGGAGAAAAAATAGTCTGATCTGAGCCACTCATAGAGAAGACTGGGGTTTTCTGGATTTTAAAAATCAGTAACTTCCGCGCCCGTCGCCCTTCTATAATTCACGTACACCCCCTTTAAGGGACTATCCATGTAAGTTCAGATGATCCTCCACTTATTAGAGTGCATGCTCAATTCCCAACAGTACTCTGTAAACCTTCATCTCAGCCAAAATAACGGAGATCCTTATGTCATCTGAAAATTGATTATTTTCTCCTTTAATGTGATTTGAGCATTTATCCCGGTAAAACAAGCAGTGCTTAGGATCCGGATCCGTTGGATCCGCAAGATTTTGGCATCCGGATCCGCAAAAATATGCGGATCCACGGATCCGGATCCAAGGGATAAAATATCAACCAAAAACTGCAAAAAAAAAAATCTTTTTTACTCCAAAATCCCAAATCTGAACTTTTGAAAAAAAGGGAGATTATAAAAATTTCCTCATTTCTGAATGGTTCATCAAGTTTTAGGATAAAAATAAGCGAAAAAAAAATAAAATCAAATTTGAAGAAAAAAAAAATTTGTTAAAAAAAAATTCAGTAAATCTTTAAGAAATGACCTGGATCCGGATCCATTTTTTTTCCAGTACGGATCCAGGATCCGGATCCGCATCAAAATTGAATGGATCCTAAGCACTGAAAACAAGGAAGGAAATTGAAAGAATAATTCTCTATTCAAGAAAAAAAATTGCAACTGAGAGGATTACGGGACATGTAACTCTTAAAAGTGAAGGATTATTGGAAATTATCTTTACAGCCTCGTAAAATAAAGCTTTGAAATTATTTCTTGTTTTCCAAAACTTATAAAATAATGTACATTGTACTTAAAAAGTGTGCGCATGCATAGGAAATATATTCCAAGTAAGCCTATATATTAAAATAATTTGTGATATGTGCGTACGCCATATGGTAGTGCGTATGGTTTAAGTAACTCTTATTTTAATGTTTCTGTTATGCATAACAATCTTATTTTTTTTTTGTAGATTTAAATCTAATGTAACATTAAAGAAATGCGCAATTATGGTATATATTCTTTAATTATGGATATTTTCAAAAATTGATCAACCAAGAATTCCAAGTGTGATTTATAATTATAAAAGATATATATTAGTCATTATTGTAAACAATAAATTTATTGGGTTTAATAACCGTCATTTTAATCATATTTATGAAATATAATTTAAACAATATTCTTCCAATCACATTATAATATACTCTACAGAATACTGATTAAGACTGATGAGTTTTATCTTAAAACAGTGGAAACTAGAAAACAGAAATATAAGTATTCTTTATTTATTTTTTTAAATTGTCTCGAAGAATTTGTAATTTTAACTTTATTTAAAAAAAATGAAATTAATTTAGTACTTACAAATATAAATCCCCACATTTCTCAGTCATGATAAATAACCTTTAAAATGTACGACATGAGGTTAAAAAGAAGGAAAAGAATAGTTCGATATAAAAAACAAACAAAATATGTTCAGTTTCAGAGATAAAATAACTATTAATTACTACTTAACCGGGAGATTAAGGGAGGATAATTAAATTGAGGGGAAAACCACTTAGCCGAGGGCTCGTGAGGTTTAGAACCCCAAAAAGGTCGAGGAGGCCCAAGGCTAAGTGGTTTTCCCCTCAATTTATTTATCCTCATGAAAACTCCCGGTTAAACTAAACCTCACGAGCGTAGCGAGGGAGGTTTAGAACCCCAAAAAGGTCGAGGAGGCCCAAGGCTAAGTGGTTTTCCCCTCAATTTATTTATCCTCATGAAAACTCCCGGTTAATTAGTAATTTATCGTTTAATCTCCTGTTCAACGAAATAACCAACCGTGGGGGATAAAATAATAATGAAATCAATAAAACTATCAATTATGATTTTAATTCTCTTATTTCTTACTAATGCATATGGAAGAATATTTAATAAGCAAATTTAATGATTTCTAAAATATATTAAGTATCAGAGATAAATTATGTTCAGTTGGAGAGATCCCTATTTGCCCGCCTTTCTGTTATTATGAGTTAGATTTAATTTATTTGTAAGAAATGTAATAAATTCTACAGTTTTTATATTTACATCGAGATAAAGGTAATAGAAAAAGGCTGCTCACAAATAAACAAAATTTTGTGTTTAAAAATACATTTTCCGTGAAACAATAATATATCAATAAATCACAATTTTTGTTTTTAAATTGTCATTTGTCATGTAAAATAGTCGGCAATAATATCAAATATTTTTTTCTAATTTTACAGTGTGAAATCCCAAACGAATGTCAACCTATGTTGAGATTGGAAGAATTGGGATTAGGAAATTGGAATGGCCATTAGATGGCAACTAATTTTTGTAGTAGATAAAATAGGTTGGGAATTTGAATGGATATCAATTGAAAGAGGAAATTGGGATTGGGATTCAATGAATGTTTAGGATGATAAAAAGGGTTGGTAAATTGGGAGTTAGAGCAAGTTGGAAGATTGAATACTGAACATATGTTTTTTGGTCGAACCACTGTATTGGAAAAGTAAAAGCAAAATATCGAATAGTATGAAGATACAAATAGAATAAAATACGTGTGTGTAAACTTTAGAGAATAAGTAATTTAGTGGATAAAAATGTTAATAAGAGGTGAAGACGACATTTTGTAAGGGAATTGGCGGATTATCGTTAAGTTGGAATAAGAGAGAGAAATGAGTATACAATTCATCATTATAATTATTCAATAACCTGTAGCTGGATATTTGGCATTTAATTAAAACCCAATTCCTGTAAAGGTAGTGATATAATTTTTATATTCCCTTTTATTCTGTTTATGTATCTTTAACCCTTATGTCTTTATAGTCCCTTATATCATCTGTTTATCTTCCCTTATATCTTCTGTTATTCTCTTTTATCTTCTGTTTCTATAATTATTAATTGGCCCTTAAACCTTTTGTCTTTATTCCTAATTTTTCTGTTTATATTCCCTTAAACTTTCTGCCTTTATTCCCTTAAATATTCTGTTTTAATTCCCTTATATCTTCTGTTTTTATTTCCTTCTGTTTAAAATATTCCTTTATTATATCGACTGTTTATCCTTATCTTCTGTTCATATTCCCTTAAACCTTTTGTCTTTATTACCTTAATCCTTCTGTTTATTTTGCCATAACAATTCTGCTTATAATCCCTTTCCCACCAATATTCAGTAATATCTTTCTGTTTTTATTCAGGGGCGTATTGAATATACAGTGGACTGGAAATTCTAAAACCATTAATTCTATTGGACGGGGCCTTAGCTCCCTTTCCCTCTAGAAATTAAAGAAGGTACCCCCCCCGCCCCGATCCTTCTCCTGGGGAAAAATTTACATCACGCGAATCACGCTCCTGTTAATATTTCTCTCCTTCAACGGTAATGTTACATCGTCTACACGCAACATCTCCCTACTGAACTTCTGACCTCTTAGCTTTCCGACCTCCTGCAATATAGGACCTACGCCAGCTGTTTATTTTAGTATTATTTGAGGGTTAGGTTAGGTTAAAACAATTTCTGGGCCGAGCGCTGCGGCTAGGACAGGCTAGAGGGCCGAGCGCCGCGGCTAGGACAGGCTAGGGGGCCGGGCGCTGCGGCCACAAGTCCATATAGCATCTGTAATACCACGTGTTAGTAGGTCGGATGTGTAGTATAGCGGAATTGGCGTAGGTCAGAAGTGGAGAATGGCGGATATGTGTAGGTCGAAAAATACACCACCTTCTTCAACCCCTTTTTTGAAAGTCGTCTTCAATATAGAATCAGCTGATATAATAAAACAAACTTGTATCCGTTGAATGTGCTAGAATGTTCTCGATCTTGAACAATGCTTCTGCAGCCGGCATTGTAAAAATACTGCCTCCTGCGCACACCTTGTTACTTTTAAACGTATCCTGCTGTTTGTTGATTTTAATCAACAATCTATTTAATTGATAAATCTAGGGGTGAAATCAGTAAGGTAATTTCTTAGTATACGATTTTTGGACCCCCCCCCCCTCCTATCAATTTTGTACATGGGTCTGACAAGAAGTTTCTTAACTTAACTTAACCCGTGGCCGCAGCGCTCGGCCCCCTAGCCCATCCTAGCCGCAGCGCTCGGCCCAGAAAGTGTCTTAACTAACCTAACCCGTGGCCGCAGCGCTCGGCCCCCTAGCCCATCCTAGCCGCAGCGCTCGGCCCAGAAAGTATCTTAACCTAACCTAACCCTAAATAACAAAACAAACATTAATAAATTTGCTGAAAAATAAATGGTCATGTACAAAATTGATAGGAGGGGGGAGGGGTCCAAAAATCGTTCTCAAGGACGGACCCAGAGTTAGGTTAGGTTTAGACAATATCTGGACCGAGCGCCACGGCTAGAGACCTGGGCGCTGCGGCCACATAATCAATTATATCCTTATGGCACATATGAGATCCATGTACAAAATAGAGGGGTGGGGGTCCAACAATCGTTCTCTGGGAAATTACCTATAGTTGTGGTAGTTGCTCAATATATCCTCTTTGATGGTATAAATATGGCGTCTGTCCTAGAGAACCTTTTATTATCCCCCCATCTCTTGGTTTAAAGTGTTATGATTATTTTGTATATTTATCAAGGATGAGGAAAATCAGACGAGACTCCAGGGACCTGAAGCAATTAAGTCACATATTATTGCAGGGAATTAAGTTCAAATCATTTAATTTATTAAATTTATTCTTAATCTTTTTTTTTAAAACAATAGAATCTTACAGTTTTTGCATGTGTGTCTAAATTCAGCAAGTTAAAAATCTTATATGGGTAAAGTAAAATTCACATATTTTTAGATCTGCAATTTGACATTTTTGCCAGTTAAAACGATAAATACATGTTGATCTACGATCCTTTGAGCTCATCGTATAATTGTATCTGAAATAGTAAACATTCTCAGGCCTAGTTGGAACAAAACATGATGCACAATAAAGCCAGCAGGATCACATCTTTGGTGGCATGATTTTCTCTCAACACTGCTTCACAATCCTTATCAAAGAATTCTTGATACTGAGCTCAACAATATAGTCATTGAATTGAAAACTCACAAAGATATTTAAATTGAACTTTTATTTGGTTAGCTAAGTCCGTAGCCAACACCTTGAAAACATCTCTCGGCCCCAAAGGTAGGGTTTTTGTTTTACTCGGATTATATTTTCATTAATTAGACAAATAAAACTTGCTTTAAATTTAAGACATAATCAAAATATTTTTACTCTCACGTGCCAAGATCTCTAAATCAAAATTTAGTTTTTCTCATGGATTATCATTCTCTTCGGGTCCCCAATATCCAAAGATTAAATGTTCTTAAATAAAAAAATTTCTAGCAAAAGCTGAGTCGGGTGGGGGAAAAATACTCATTTTTAATTTTTCCATCTTAAGGTTTGGATAAACTGATGGTTTCCCCTGATGGAGATGTAACGATCACCAACGACGGAGCAACTATTTTGAAGATGATGGATGTTGATCATCAGATTGCTAAGCTTATGGTTCAACTCTCCCAGTCTCAGGTTCGTTCTCACAACCATTATTTTTCAAATATATTTTCTATTATAGCTCAAACTTCATAAACCCAAAATACGGGTAAATGTCAAATGTCGCGAATGTGATATTAAAAAAGTCCATGCTATGATATTATTTTCTTGATAATATCTGAAGTTTTAAATGGATATTTGTGTCAAACATTACACAAAGATTCCGTATTTCTTAAAAAAACGAAGAAAGAAATATCTGAATTTCTGATGAAAGGTCACCTCAGCCTAAGTAAGTTGGCTGTCTTCTACCACTCAATAAAAAGTATAATCTAAATGTCAACTTTTGTCCTCATTACCCTTATTGAAGGATGACGAGATTGGAGACGGAACTACTGGCGTTGTTGTTCTCTGTGGAGCTCTCCTTGAACAGGCAGAGTTCCTCCTCGACAAAGGAATTCACCCTATCAGGTATTAATACTATACCATTTTCATTTCTGAAATGCTCTTTGAGGGATTCAACGTTGGACCGCTTTTCATAAACTAAGGAATTCTTAAAATCAAAGCAAATAAAGCTATAGAGGGGTGCCAAGGATTGAAATCGTTACTTGTTAAAATTCTTTGTTACGAATTTTTTTTCCATTACTTTAAATTAATCTCTCTCCTTTTCTCATTTTCTTCGACAGACTTAAATAATTTCAGGATTGCTGATGGATTTGAAATGGCATCTCAGTGTGCGATCAATAACTTGGATACTATTGCCGATACATTTCACATCGATCCTAAGGTAACGCTTTGTTACTACAGAATTAAATTTCAGGTTGATTCGTTGGTCACTTTTTTACTTCTAGAAAATAAATCATTATGAATTCGTCTTAGAAATTGACCCAATTATAAAGTTCTTTTTCCAGAAAACATGCTTCCCAAAAAAGGATTTAAAGTTTTTTCCGTTGATATCTGTATTTTTTTTTAGTAATTGTCAAAGAATCTTTTTTACAGTTCGAAACAATGGCATCTTATTTACACATACCAATTAATATTAGCGCAAAAGCTTTGTAGATAATTCCAAGAAAAGTACTTTTTATCAATGATGATAATTACTGACTAATGTATGAATTTAGGATACTGAGAATCTGGTGAGAACTGCTAAGACTACCCTCGGATCCAAGATCATCAACAAGTGCCACGATCAGGAATATAAACTTTTAACAATGAAATTGGATGCTTTTCGAGATTGTCTGTCTTAAAATTAATTTTACTTATAAATTGAACATCAGAAAGGCTGTTATTTTTTATAAAAGCAAATAATTTTTTCAAACTGTAATTCATGCACAAGAAACTAAAATTTTAACTTATAGGTATTTTATCCGATAGTTAAACAGAAGGTTTTTTGGGGAGGATTTTTCTTGTCTGGTTCATTGGATCCATAATTTACCAGATTCTTAATTCAAAATAGAACTAGGATGTTAGCAGTAACCCGTTCATGGGCTGATGATGAAGGATTCTTCTAAGGTCTGCTACGAAAGTAGAACCTAACCATTTCAAAACTGTAATTCATGATCCAATTTTCGCCTTGAATAGTTTTTTTACTGTATATAATGTATAATTCCTTGTTATGTAATATGTAACCTAAAATATTTATCAAAAACTTCAGTTAACAGTTGTGTAACTGATCAGATGGCTCGTATTGCTGTGGACGCTGTTATGGCTGTTGCTGATTTCGAGACCAAAGACGTTAACTTTGAACTGATCAAGGTGGGATTTATTTATTTTTACCCCTAATGGTTTTGCAACTTTTGATTATTCGCTATTTTGTTGAAGTTTTGTTTTTAAAAACTTTAAGTTTCATAATTATACTGGCTTGGGAACCAGTTTTACCAGGTTAACTGCACTTGGTCTTAAATTAGGATTAGATTTTAATAATTGTTTCCTAATAAATTTATCTTATAATCTCTAAACTAAGCTAAGAACATTCCCTTGGTTCTCCAGAGATCCCTAATAAAAATTTCAGACAACTCGGTCCAGGGGTCTCAGAGTTGTGATCGGACATACAAACAAACGGATATAACTTCTTAATACAGATAATAGGCCGGGTCAAGAGTCCCTTAATAGCACTCTTAACTAATCCTGGTTGGTAGGATCATCTACCCTACGCGTTCATAAGTTGTGCTAATACCGGTATTAACAGAAATGCCAGTTTTACTAAGAGCGGTGTTAACTAATCTACCCGCAGGGTAGATTTAGGTAGGATGATCTACCCTAAATAACCAGTTCTACCAGTATTAATTTGGTTTGGATTCGATATTCTCGCAACCTCATGAAATACAGGGATGTTTAAAATACAGNAGTTCAAATAAAAGTTTAAAAGATAACTCAAAAAATGTCAACTTCACAATTCATTGGTATAAGTTTACAATTTACGGTATATGTGTTTCTTGGATCATTTTGTTAGAACAATGTCGTTTTCAATACTTAATTTTTTTCTTGGATTATTTTTTGTCCGGCCTATTGTGAAGTAAATTTTTCTTTTTTAACCTATTTCTGAAGATTTTTTGTTTAGGTTAAGGATGCTGGAGCAACCCTGGCAATCTGTCAATGGGGATTCGATGATGAGGCCAATCATCTTCTTCTACAGAGACAGCTTCCCGCAGTCAGGTTAGTTAGTTATTAAATGTATTTCTTGCTGTTAGGTTAGTCAATAAATGTAATTCTAGCAGTTTTGTTAGTCATAAATTGTATTTCTAGCTGGCAGGTTATTCAATAGATGTATTGCTAGCATTTATTTTAGTCAATAGATGTATTTCTAGCATTTATTTTAGTCAATAGATGTATTTCTAGCTGTTAGATAAGTCAATAGATGTAATTCTAGCATATATTTTAGTCAATAGATGTATTGACAACTGTTAGATAAGTCAATGTATTTCTAGCATTTATTTTAGTCAATAGACGTATTTCTAGCTGTTAAATAAGTCAATAGATGTATTTCTAGCATTTATTTTAGTCAATAGATGTATTGACAGCTGTTAGATAAATCAATATACGTATTGACAGCTGTTAGATAAATCAATAGATGTATTGACAGCTGTTAGATAAATCAATATACGTATTGACAGCTGTTAGATAAATCAATATACGTATTGACAGCTGTTAGATAAATCAATAGATGTAATGACAGCTGTTAGATAAATCAATATACGTATTTCTAGCTGTTAATGTGTTTTTAGTATAACAAATAGGTTAATTACTTTGTTGCACCCAGTCAAGTTAGTCTTTGGGTTCTTACATAGCTGTGACTAAGCCATTAGACTTTCAATAGCTTGAAGTTAAGCCATCGGATTCTTAAGTTAGTCATCGTTACTCAGATCTTATAAGTTGGGTGCTGTTATACAGCAAAGTACATTTTAACATTAAAAGAAAATGAAGAGATCTATAATTCCCTGCTCTAGGTGGGTAGGAGGACCTGAGATCGAACTGATCGCTATTGCTACCGGAGGAAGGATCGTTCCACGCTTCCAGGAACTCAGTGCCGAGAAGTTAGGTAGGAAATATTTCACTTGTTAACATAAAATCTTATTTTGATTTGAGAATTTATTTGAGAAACTATTTAGTTAGGAGTAGATTTTCATGTGTCGAGTTCTTGAAAGTTTTTTTTTTCATTTTGAAGATGGCGCATTTAAGTTTACTTTGAAGTATCCAATGAGAGAAGAAAACCCTCTTCAAGTTTAAAGAAATCCGTTTGTGTTTTTAAATCAAGAAAAATACATTTATTGCTACGGATCAAACTTTAATTAAATTTCCTTCACATTTTTATATTTTTTTCTTCGAATTTGACCGTTTTCACTTAAATCTTATTTTCCCTTGTCTAGGTCATGCTGGACTTGTCAGAGAACTCTCATTCGGAACCACCAAGGTACAAAAATATGAAATAATATTATTGTGTACCAAAAGCCAGGGTTTAAGTAACTAAGAATTTATGTTAGGTACATTACAGCCAGGGGGCGGAAACGTCATTTGTGTGTTTGTAAGGTTACCGTACCAAAGGTGTGTACTGTAGGTTTATACAGTACGTAAGAATCTCGGTATTTGTACAGTCTAGGGAGAGTACATTTGTTTATTTTCAATTGTTTTCTTAAAAATAAGTTTTGCATGTAATATATTATTTACATATTTAAGTCAATACTAAAAGTCAAATTTTCATGCAAAGAATATAATTTGATTAGAGATTACAATAAACTACTCGTTATTCAAGTTTAATAACAATTGACGACATTGTTCTGCAATTTCCATGACTGTAGTCATGTTGTGTGTCTGTACCAGAAAAGTGTGTGTAAGGTTACCGTACTGGTCTGCAAAGCAGTGCGACTGGCTTTCTCATGCCAGACCAGCGCCATTTCCTTTCCCTTTATTCCTATTCCCTGATTACAGCATAAAATATTGGGTTCGAAATTAATGGGGATTTTTAATTTTTAATGGCGACAAGCAATTTTTGAAACAAAACTAACGTTGAACCCTATTGTTTAAGGGGTGATGCTTTACAATGTACGATGTACGGTATTAGTTTACAATGTACGATGTACGGTATTAGTTTACAATGTACGGTATTGGTGTACAATGTACGGTTTAAGTGTACAATCTACGGTATAAGTTTACAATGTACGGTATAAGTGTACAATGTACGGTTCAAGTGTACAATGTACGGTATTTCTGTAGAATGTACGGTATTAGTGTACAACATACGGTTTTAGTGTACAACGTACGATATTGGCGTACAATGTATGGTGTAAGTGAACAATGTACGGTTGAAGTGTACAATGTACGGTTGAAGTGTACAATGTACGGTATATGTTTGCAATGTACGGTATAAGTTTACAATTTACGGTATATGTGTACGATGTAGGGTATAAGAGTACAATGTACGGTTACGTGTACAAAGTAATACAATTATTACGCTTACTAATTAAAAGGGGTCTTCCTTTTAAATTTTATTCTGATAAGAACTCTGAACTCCAGATATTTATATTCTAATATATTATAATCCTTATTTATTGTTTTAGGACAAGATGTTGGTGATTGAAGAATGTCACAACTCTAAGGAAAATAAATCAAAATATTCAACTAAAAGTTTTCCTAAATGATAAAATTTTAATCTCACAATTTTTTCTTAAAGTATGTTTTATGAACGGCGTCCCCCCTTCCAAGTTAATTGGTTTTATTTTGAAAACATAGATTTATTCAATTAAAGGCCGTCACTATCTTCCTGCGTGGAGGAACTAAGATGATCATTGAGGAGGCCAAGAGATCCATGCATGACGCGCTCTGCGTTGTGCGTAACCTTGTTCGCGACAACCGTGTTGTCTACGGTGGAGGCGCGTCAGAAATCTCCTGTGCGCTCGCTGTGTCCAAGGAAGCTGACAACATCAAGACGATTGAGCAGTATGCTTTCCGCGCGTTTGCTGAAGCGCTTGAGATGATTCCTCTTGCGCTCGCAGAGAACTGTGGTCTTCAACCTATTCAAACCCTCACAGAGATTAAAGCCAGACAGGTCAGTTTACAATTAAATTATTTTTTATTTTTTATTATCATTTTATGGGCAGACGCTGAACTCCAACTTTCGAGTGTGCGAGGTGGGGAAGACTTACTGCGATTTTACTTTTGTACATGACAACCTTTTTTAACAATTTTTAATTAAATTGGTATTTATTTAGGTTAAGACGCTTTCTGGGCCGAGCGCTGCGGCCAGGGGTTAGGTTAAGTTATGACACTTTCTGGGCCGAGCGCTGCGGCTAGGATTCACTCTATCTACAAATGTCATCCCCCTTTAATCATGCTTTTAATTAAGCGCGGCAGTGAAGTCTTCCCCACCTCGCACACTCGTAGGTTGGAGTTCTGCGTCTGCCTCATTTTATGGGGAAAAAATTGTTCCTGAAAATCTCTAAATAAAGTTGGCTGGCTTGATTGTTTCTTTAATACAATAAAGTTAGTTCGATTGGTCACAATTTTCTTTCTTGCAACTCACATGATTAAAACTGAAAAATTGTCTCTAAAAAGTCTATTTTTAGATTATTGAACAGAAAAGTAGTCAACTTTCGAATTTTAAACATTACGAAGAAAAAAACGCAAACTTGCAAAATACTACAGTTATATTTTTCTTACTCCATGTTATTGTAGGTATCTGAGAAGAACCCTGCCCTGGGTGTGAACTGCATGGAGCTCGGCTCCTCCGATATGAAGGAGCAGTCCGTCATCGAGACCCTTCACAGCAAGAAGTCCCAGATCCAGCTCGCCACCCAGCTTGTTAAGATGATCCTCAAAATTGATGATATCCGTTCACCCGCCGGAATGTAAAATCCCAGCCGGATTTTATCGTTCAGCCGGATTCTAATCTAATTCATGATCCGGATTATTTTCTACCACAAATGCTCGTCTTAACTTGTATTAATTAACCATGTGATGAAGACCCAAGTTTGATCTGTACTCGCTGTACTCGTGTTTTTGTGCCAGCACACGCTAAATACAAACAGCAATTAATTCAATGTGTTTCATGGTTACCGAGAGAATAAGATTTTGATAACAGTTTGGTGCATTATAGAAAATATTGAAAATTACTTTAGTTCGCATTCAGATTTAAATCATTATAAGATAAATTTGGAAAACGAATTTATTTTCTCAAGAAAAATTTGGATATTGGAGCATTTCAGCTAGCGGTTAAATTATCTCACCGCCGCCTACGGGTTGTGTTATGAACGTAATTCATTTCAGATACAGATTTCAACAACATTGAATGGATTGTTAGTTTTTAAAATCTTTTGATTCTGCCTAGTTATAAGCATCAAGACATACATATAAGTGAGACATTTTTCTGCAATCCTAAGAACCAAGAAAGAATTTTTCTAGAAATTCTAATATATGTAAACAATAGGTATTTTTTCACAAAAATTTTAAATGGCCGTCGAAAATGGGTTTAATGCTAATTAACTTTGTGATTAACTTTGACTAAGTCATTTTTTACTTTTATTATCGTAAACCATTTACAACGGCCATTTTTAATTTTTTTGAAAAATACCTTTTGTAAACATGTATTAGAATTCCTAGAAGAATACTATTAGGTTCTTAAAAATGTTTCACCCTAATTGCTTAATGCTTATAACAGAACAGAATCGTAGGAATTCAAACATTCAATAATTTCTAACGTGGTATTTATCCAGATTTTATCATATGTCAAAGAAAACTAAATCGAAAGTGAATTTTGTTTAAAAACGCAAAATTTTCTTAAAGATATAACTATATTCAAATTGATTTGTAGCGTTTTACTAAAGATATAACTAGATACAAATTAAATAAAATCTTTTGAACATAAAACTGAATTCAAATTAGTTTCAGTTTTTCATAACTTACTAGATGTAAGTTTTTGTTTCTTTTAGATCTAACTAGATTCAAATTAATTTCAGTTTTACTTCAGATAAAACTAAATTAAAACTAACTAGATTCAAATTCTTAAAGGTTTCTGTTAAGGATTTAACTAGATTCAAATTTATTTTAAAGATAGAAACTAGATTTAAGTTAAAATTTTTTTCTGAAAGTTCAAATAAAAGTTTAAAAGATAACTCAAAAAATGTCAACTTCACAATTCATTGTTCTCTCCTATTAAAAATTCCCTTAATCACAAATCCATTTGATATAAATCTATATGTTATCTCTTTAGATATTTATATAATTAAAAACAGAGAAATCTATTAAGTTCTATATTTATTAAACATACATATTTAGATTTTACATATACGTTCTATTACTCAAGCTATTAAGATGTTCCAGTTGGCAGTTGGGAAGTACCAGTTGGCAGTTGGCAAGTACCAGTTGGCAGTTGGCAAGTACCAGTTGGCAGTTGGCAAGTACCAGTTGGCAGTTGGCAAGTACCAGTTGGCAGTTGGGAAGTTCCAGTTGGCAGTTGGGAAGTACCAGTTGGCAGTTGGGAAGTTCCAGTTGGCAGTTGGGAAGTACCAGTTGGCAGTTGGGCAGTTCCAGTTGGCAGTTGGACAGTTCCAGTTGGCAGTTGAGAAGTACCAGTTGGCAGTTGGGAAGTACCAGTTGGCAGTTGGGAAGTACCAGTTGGCAGTTGGGCAGTTCCAGTTGGCAGTTGGGAAGTGCCAGTTGGCAGTTGGGAAGTTACAGTTGGCAGTTGGGAAGTTCCAGTTAGCAGTTGGGAAGTTACAGTTGGCAGTTGGGAAGTTCTAGCTTAGAAAGGTTTTTAGAGAAGTTCTAGCTGAAGACAGTATTCTAGTTGAGTGTCGGCAGTCTTGGAAACCAGGAAGTGACACTGATATTTGTCAATTCCAAGTCGGGTAGGTCTCTAATAATGCACAGTCCGGGACCCACTCCATCTCATCAGTGTCTGAAGTAAGAAGAACCATTCTCTTGATGTCGTCAATTCCTTGGTCGGAGTAAAGGAACAGAGGTTCTATCTCCTCTATCATTTCTGTTAAAGAAAACCGGCTTAGGCGGTAGGAGACGTAAGATTGGATGGATGAGTTGGACATGGTTGATGGTCGGAGAAAGGATAGAGTATAGAATATTGATAGACAGTTTGTACAGGCCACAAGTTTATTTCCTGTTCGTTGCACTTTCTGTCAAACCTTCATATTAGTTTTGATGCTTTGATACCAAGACGTGAAGCTTTCACAGCATATTTCACTCCCAATCAAGTCTGGAGAAAGAAATCATGATCATTGGAGTACTATTAGAGACCCTCATGATTGACTTCTGAGAGATCCCAAGATTTTCATCGGAGACCCCAAAAAAAATTTTCGAAGACCTCAAGTATTTATTGGAGGCCAACAAATTTTTGGGACACCAATGAAAATCTGAGGGTGAGTCTCCACTGAAATTTTGTGGTTTAAAAGAAAAGTCTAGGGTCTCCAATGAAAATTGAAGTGAAAAGATTGGGATCTCCGACTAAAAGGTTGGTGGTTTTCATTCTCCAATAAAAAGCTCGGGGTCTCAAATGAAAATCTGGGGTCTAGGGTAATACTCCAATAACCAGACTCCTCTAAAGAGAAGAAATACATTTTTTATGGTAAAAGTACTATTGTTGACGGAAAACAGCAACACACTAGACAAATCAGAATAGTAGGCCGGTTAGGATTCTGGTGGGGGATGTTTATTATCCCCAGACAATTCTTTCCCCGATGGCCGAACAATACACACACAACAGAGTAACCCCGTCTCAGAAATTCGATAACAAAATCTTTATTTCCTAAAAAAATAACATAAATTATAGGTCATGTTTAATTGTACAATGTTATAATGAATGTTAATAGTAGAAAAAATCTTACGAATTATTTAAGGATAGAAGGGGTGACTTATTTGTTGATCAGTATTGAAATACGTTTTTTTAACTTCTGAAAAATTACAGTTGAATATTTAACGAAATTCACTTATGCTTCTTATGAAAATATTTTGCTTAACTTTAATGATTTCACAACAACGAAAATATTTTAAGCTCCGTCGGAGGAGGACAATGGAATTTGCGGGCTGAAAATTTGGTTTGGCTGTCTCCGACAGGAGATTCCAGTAGAAGACGACATTTTATAGAGGTTTTGAAATTAATGGTTAACAACTATAGTGTACAGTAGAATATGTACACAGTACAGTATAGATGGAATATTTTGTACAGTAAAACAATGAACAGTATAGAAGAATATATTGTAAAAAATCTAAGGAATATCTTGTACAGTAGGATATGTACATAATAGATGGAATATACTATACAGTATTAGGATATGTACAGAATAGATGGAATATATTGTACAGTAGGATATGTACAGAATAGATGGATATAGGAAACGTACAGAATAGAGGGAATATATTGTACAGTAGGATATGTACAGAATAGAAGGAATTTGTACAGTAGAATATGTACTAAATTTATGTACATAATGTTAGATAATTGTACAAAAAACCTGTTATAAAGTATGAGATGACTGAATACATTGTAAACTGTAAAGATGTTATAGACTAAAAGTACAGTAGAAGGATATTCCAATCAAAGAGAATAGAATATATATTAGAGTGAAATTTAGAGAATCTCTCGGTATGAATTTTCTCAGTCCTTTTCAGCCTGAAAGGGAGTTCAAAGTGTACAAAATCATATAAATGTTCACAAATAATATGCAGTAGAGTACATTAATACAGTATGTTCCCTAGACTATCTATTTCAATTTCGAATTTTTTAAAGCTGTTAAATAAACTTTATAATGAATTAGGTGAATAAAAAACATCATTTGATTTATAGTGCTATAACGGAAAATCATCGTTTGAAAGGCATAGAGTCTATGTGAAATGATCGTTGGTCAATTATGAAATCAGCCTATTTCATAATTTGGTTTTCTCTTAACAATAATTTTAGATTTTCTATAAAATGATATTCCAGAGCCCAAAAGGTTATAAAGCATAAATATGTGAGGAACACTTGCAGTATGGAAACAGTACAACAAAATGGCCGTTTTACACTTTTTTCTAGTGAATTACCCTCTAATATATATTCTATTCTCTTTGATTCTAATGCATATAAGAGAAATGATTAGAGAACTGTACGGTTAAAAGTAAACCAAGATGAAGTATATATTTTGCATACAAGATGTATGAAACATTGTTTAAACGGACTGTGTACGTAACAAGTACGTAAATGTCCCAAAATTGTTTAGTTTCCTGCTGAAAATCTGCACGCCACTTTTAGAAGGAGAAATTTAAAAACAATGTAGATATTGATTATGATTTTTGTTTGACAAAGAGGTAAAGTTGTGAATCAAGGGATTGTAAGCGTAATCTCAAATGGCCCACCATACAAAGATGGCAATATCCGATAATCTTGTCAATAATGTGGATTTAATTCTAATAATTTCTACATTTTTCCTGCAGTAAAACTGCGCAAGTCACTTTTCTAGAGAAACCATAAATGAAAAGAATCGGTTTTCAGAATTATAAATATAGATATTAAATTTTTATTTAAGCATACAGAACTTTTAACAGTACTCTTGGGAGTAACATCTTTGCACGGAGGGTCACTTTAAATATTGGATAAATTGAAATTACGTTAACAGTAATACTCACACTTTTCCAGTTTATGAACTTATTTATTATTGTATAGTCCAGATTATGAACTTATTTATTGTATAGTCCAGTTTATGAATTTATTCCTTATTGTATAGTCTTGAACTTATTTATTATAATCCAAGTTATGAACTTATTCATTATTGTATAGTCCAGATTATGAACTTATTTATTATTATATAGTCCAATTTTTGAACTTATTTATTATTCTATAGGTCAGATTATGAACTTATTTATTGTCGTACAGTCCAGTTTATGAATTCATTCATTATTGTCAAGGTTATGAATTTATCTATTATTGTACAGTCAAGGTTATGAACTTATTTATTATTGTATAATCAAGGTTAGGAACTTATTTATTATTGTATAGTCCAGGTTATGAATTTATTTATATTTGTATAGTCCAGGTAATGAACTTATTTATTATTGTATAGTCCAGGTTACGAATTTGTTTATATTTGTATATTCCAGGTTATGAACTTGTTTATGAATGAGAGAGAAGTTTCGAGACTATGAATGTTCTCTTGTTATCCTGTATAAAGGATATATATCTGATGAAGCTTGAAGAAAACTATTATCTTCTGTTTCCGAAGTCAAGTTCCGATTGATGTACTTCGTATTTTTCATGCATGGGCGCAACCAGAGGTTTCGGAAGGGGGGGCGAAGTCAAGTTACAATTGATGTACTTCGTCTTCCTCGTGCATTGGCGCGACCAGAGGTTCTGGCAAAGGTGGGTGGGAGACATTTGGCAAATTTTGTATTATTTTTTACTCCTATAGTGTAGTAGAGAGGAGTCGCACCTCCATTCCTCTGTATATATCTCGAAATAAGGAAGATCCCCCCCAGGGGAATGTGTAGGGTGTGAGGCCTGGATGGGGGAAAGCAGCATGGAGAAATAAGAGAAATTGTTTAGTTCACCATAAATAAATAAATATCTACAACGTTTTTATGACTAATTGAAAACAAGGAAGAGGTAGAGAAGGGAGAAGGGGGGCTGAGTCATATAAGCATAATTAAACCCTCTCCGGGAGGAGAAAGGGGTTGCGTCAGCTGAGAGTGAGGCGAGGGATTGAGGGAAGGGCGTGTTTTCCCTCTCTCCACGTCCACAGATCAGTAGAAAGGCGGCCACCATTACTAGCAGACGGAACGTACTTTAGTATAATACCGGTACATATACTCCGTTCTTACCGGCACACAACGTTTTACCGGTATAAATATCCAACCCTTCCAACAAATTTGCCCTACTCCAACCGCCGCAATAAGTAAAAATCTACTCCATCAGGTATGCATATCTTTTAGTATATGGGTTTTTGGTAGGAAAAAATAATGGTTTGAGAATTTTTAAGCAGTGTTTTTTTATATTCATAGTTCTTTTTTTAAAGAACTTATCTATTATGTATTAATTGTTTGTATTTGCAAAGCTACCACATGATATAAAATTTGTTTATCATCCTTTCTCTTAAAAACCAAATATTAATATTTCTTGTTGTCATTTCCTATAAAAAACTTTTAATTCCAATGAGTTTGTACATTTCGAAAGTTTTTGATCGTTATAATTTTTTATTGTATTTCAAATTACATTTTTTAAATGATATTTTAAACGAAATAATCTTGGATTTCTTTAAATAGATGAATTTAAATAAATATATAAAATAATACAAAAAAATACAAAATCTTAAAACTACCTGAAAAAAAATATTTATATTTAAAATAAAATTGCGTTTCTTCTTTTATAATAAAAGTGGGAAGCATTGAAGACTGAAAACTAATTTGTTTTCTTTAGCTTAACCTATAATGCATGTTAAGAGAGAACGTTTTGACGCGTTTTGAACATTTGTTTTCCCTTATAACGTGCTCACTACACGTTAAACTAATAAGGACTGAATAATTTACCAGAATAAACTTAGTTAAATTTTGACCCGATGATCAAAAATCATCAAACAAAATATGATGAAGCTTTTTATTAAAATGTATACAGTTTAAACAGAAATACTAAAACAACATTGAATGGTTGTAAATGGAAGCCTGAAACTTGTTCTTAAATTAAACTGTGTTCTACGATGAAAAGGAAATTGGCCGGATTACGTTTATATCAGTTGATCTCACGTTACATGAATCGAAGGGGAATCTTTCATCGTCATGTGTTTTGTTGTTTCCCCCCCTCCCCCTACACGCCTTTTCCCCAATTGGTAAAATATTGACGTTGAGGGGATATAGAATAATTCTAGTCGATCTATATGCTAATATACTGCTTTCTATTCATTTCAGATGAACATTATTACCTTCATACTAAAGTGAATATTTACTACAGTGGTTTCCAAAATATTTCAGAAGAAGAAGATGATTCTTAACAAAGCCTTAATGTTTAAAAATGTGTAAATGTAATATTGGATATAAATTGATTATTAATTATTTTTTTTTCATATTTTAACATAATTCAAACATTCCCCATTACTTTGGTTAAAAATATCCATAAAAGTATGTTTTATTATGTATTATGTATTTCTTGACAAATTTAACATTTTATCCTAAATCTTAAATTAAACATTGTAATTAATGTTGGAGGAAAAACAAGCCACTAATAGGCGTAAAACCTTAGTCGCTGCTTTAACTAGGCGTATACCGAAACATGAATTGGTTTTAATTTCGCCGAAAATCGATTCAATTTCGATTGGATCACTTTTCAAGCAAAACATTTCTCTATAAAACTTTATTCTCATTGTGACGAGCAAAAATCAGAGTTTACTAGAGATTACAAATCTGAATGTGAAAACGTAAACACAAGAACGAGATCTAACTAAATCCCCCTCTTTTTCTTCCCTCAGGAGGGGGAAATGACACAGAAACACGATTCTAACATATTTCCCCTGGGTGAATATTCAAAAAAGTAAAATTTTGTTCTTTTTGTTGAATGTTTGAGGTCACGAACAGACGGTTCATCAGAAAGCTTTTTGCATCAAAACTTTGCTGCATCCAGTGTCACCATTAGTCAACCATTTAAGGGTACTGATGTGAATCTTTCATGACAAAATGGAATTAAAAAGTTTTTTTTGGAATTTTCATTTGTTGCCTTCACTCTTGCTATAGTTTACTACATTCATCTTAACTAATCTTCTTTATGTTGTTTATTTTTCTCCGTTTCTAGAAGCTGTTAACATGTTTATGGGTTGTTAAACATTTTAGAACTAACAACCAAGTTAACAATCATGGAACAAATTTTAAGAGAAAAACCGAAATATCTTTTTTGCATTAATGCTGACATACCACTTTCTTTAAAGGAGATTTTTCATTTTAAAAAATTTGACCCTCAATATTTTTATTCTATTTTGCTAGAAAACCTCAGTCGATTTTGCAGAGCAAGCAGACTACATTTTTCGAAACCCAGTATAAGGTTTTTATTATTTTAAGCATGTTATTTGTTAAATTAAATTCATAAGTTGACTCAATCCCAAAGAACAGTTGTCCCCCCCCCCCCTCCCTGTTTTTCCTTGTGTAGATGTAAACCCAATATTCCGGGGTAGGTTTTGTTCAGACAGATAGATAAAATATAATGATTACACAATTAACCTCATATATTAAAAATAGGGGAGAGGTATTGGGGAGGGGCTACTTCCTAGAAAGTGTACACGAATGAACGTCAGCCAAAAAAAGACGACATTAAAGTACAATCTAAGTTTTCATTTTATTTTGGACACCCTGTACTTGGGCTAGTTTTGTTATCTATATCCCTGGTGAACTAAACAAGAAGTTTGACATGAATTATCTGAGTGTGAAACTATTTTTCTACATTTTAGTTTCTTTTAAGAACTAGAAAATACGAAAGTTTTCAAACTTTACCATTTAAAACAGTTGAATGAGATGTAATTTAAAGTTTTGTTTGAATTTTATCTTTTTATCTTTTTCATTTTTCTGAAAGTATAATTTTCTGGAAACTGTATACTGCAGCTGTACACAAATAATATTTAATTCGAATTATATATTTTTTATATTAACCAAAAATAGGGAAATTTTTTTAAAATTTTCTGTTTTCGGTTTTCGATCAAGGCATCGAAAACTTCCAACCATCTAATGCTAATTCTATTTCATAGGTTTGGAGAAAATTTGTTCGTAATTTTGAACAAAATGTTCGTAATTTTGAACAAAATATTCGTTATTTCGAAAAATTTTGAACAAAATGTTCGTAATTTTGAGCAACTGTTCGTAATTTGAGCAAACGTACGTGATTTCGAACAAAATATTCGTAATTTTGAACAAAATGTTCCTAATTTTGAACAAAATCTTCGTAATTTTGAACAAAATAGTTGTAATTTTGAACAAAATGTTCCTAATTTTGAACAAAATGTTCCTAATTTTGAACAAAATGTTCCTAATTTTGAACAAAATGTTCGTAATTTTGAACAAAATAGTTGTAATTTTGAACAAAATATTCCTAATTTTGAACAAAATGTTTTTAATTTTGAGGAAATGTTCGTGATTTCGAACAAAATGTTCCTAATTTTGAAATGCTGATGGTAAGTTCTTAAAATTTTTTTTTTTTCGGAATATTGTTAAAACCCTAGTACCAAGTATCCCATGGTAAACGGAATATTGTTAAAACCCTAGTACCAAGTATCCCATAGTAAACGGAAGATACAGATGAGTGAATCTACCACACCTTGCAGTCTACAAACGTTTAGTTTATACCAGGCGTAGCTTCATACCATGAAGGGGGGGGGGGCAGACATAAGATGAGAAATATGTAAAGAATTCCCCCCTGAAATAAGTCACTGTCAAAAAAAGCCACCTTTACAGTTACCTTTTGCTCTAATGAAATGATAAACAATGGCTGAAATTTTTGCTCGGTTGTGCTGTAGAAATCCACGTGTTATTATTTTTAAAAAGCTGAAGCTTCCGTTAATAAATTTTCAATTAGAAAAAAAAATCTATATTTTTAATTCAGTGTCTGAGACAAGTATATTGTTGTTAGTGACTTTTTAAAATGGTGAATCCATTACGCTGACAGTCCCTTTAAATTCGAATCAGTCAAATCTCTGATTTAAGTTTTTCTCCCTGACACACCCCTCACTATCCTTCCAATTTTTGAGGGAGGGGGAAAGGGTTAAGACCGAAGATGATTCATAAAAGATAAGAGAATGAAATCATGAGATTATCTATAATTTTCTGCCATTTTTGGTATTTGAAGCAGTTTAATTTCAACCATTTAATCGTTACGGTGTATTAGGCTTCACACTTATCTTCAAAAACAATTAATTTGAATTCTTTTATCCTTTGTCCGAACCTAGACTTATTTTCCATCCTTGACTGACTTGAATATTGAGAATTTTTAACAATAAAAATACAAGCTGCAGGGCATCTATTTTTCACATTCATACTAAAGTGAATATTTACTACAGTGGTTTCCAAAATATTTCAGAAGAAGAAGATGATTCTTAACAAAGCCTTAATGTTTAAAAATGTGCAAATGTAATATTGGATATAAATTGATTATTAATTATTTTTTTTCATATTTTAACATAATTCAAACATTCCCCATTACCATCCTCCCCTCCCCTGAAAACTTAAATCCGTAGCTTAACCGCAGTTACAAGGCTCAATATTTTGGCATATGTCTCTCCAAAATTTTTAGCATCGACCTGATTTAATGAATTTAAATTGTGTCAAAAAAGGTATAATAGGAAATTAGCTTACTTCGTCAAGACATTTTTTCTATTTTTGCCGATTAAATGTTTAAAAATATTTAAATTTCAATGATTTTTTATGGTTTATTATCATTTTATAGATTTTTTAATATTTTCGTTTAATTAGATTTTTATACAAAATTTGGTTTGGAACGCATCCAAATGAAGCGCAACATCGAAGATGATTATGTTTTTTTAATCCATATTAAATCTCAAGCTTGTGTCTCGGCGTTGCCCGTGTTTTAAAAGTACTTTAAAAAAGTTTTTGTTTAACTTTGTCACCCCCGGGGTGCTCATGGGTCCCCTCAAAATATTCAAGTCAATTTGGTTCAGCCGTTTTGCCAGCTATAACAAACAAATATATATGTGAGGGAAGAGCGTTACTTTAAAAAAGATTTAATCTTTTTCTCAAGAATTTTCATTTTCGTTCTTTCCTGATATGATGTAGCGTTTCCTGATGTAGCTGTTTCCTGATGAAGCTGTTTCCTGATGTAGCTGTTTCTTGATGTAGCTGTTTCCTGATGAAGCTGTATCAAGCTGTTTCCTGATGTAGCTGTTTCCTGATGAAGCTGTTTCCTGATGTAGCTGTTTCCTGATGTAGCTGTTTCCTGATGTAGCTGTTTCCTGATGAAGCTGTTTCCTGATGTAGCTGTTTCCTGATGTAGCTGTTTCCTGATGAAGCTGTTTCCTGATGAAGCTGTTTCGTTGTTTTGAATAATTATTTTTTCTAGCTCCATAAGATAATAAATAAATAAACACGAGAAAAGTAAAAATGTTATTTTTTTTTCTAGCTCTTCTTAAATACTTTTATATTTGAATTAAACAACTCAGAACATTTTTACTTTCACATTATTTCACTTTATTTTCTATTAGCTCGGGAACTCAGCTTTACCTGGAAACTAAACTATCTGTATAGAACTTCAATTTAAAATCTTTAGACGCTAAGAACATTTTCGTGGTTCTATTGAGTTCACCAATCAAAGTTTGAGGCAAATCGGTCAAGGGTGTTCTTGAGTTAAAATCGGACAAACAAACAAATAAACAACCAAAAACAAACAAAAAGAGATTGTCATTTATCCGAAATGTTTGTTATTTGTTAAGTAAAAAAATCTTATTCTTCTCCCAATCTTGTTTAATAAAAACACTACCTATTATTATTTGTTTGCTTTTTACTTTGAAAATGCTATTTTTTGTCTTGGAAATATTTGTCTAATTTCCCTCTCGGCGAAAAAAAATCTTTGTGCTTTGGCAATTGCAAATTAAAATAATGTATTGTTTAAATTTGCACCGTTACATTCCTTTTTGTTTCATAGAAATATTCAAAATCTCAGGCATTGATATTGCATTAAAAGAACCATGCATTTGTTCATTTGACTCTGGGTGTCCAAAAAAAATGTGCTTTTAGAATTCTTCTCTGTTCAAAACTTAACATTTCTAAATCAAACTAAGCTCGTGGGAAAGGGCAAATAGGCCTATGATAGACTGGGTACTAAAAAAGTCTGGCTGCGCCATTATAAAGTTGAAATGGGACGGACTTTGGACAGGGTCGGGCCAGTACATGCTGCACATGGCCGGTACAAGAGGGTCGGGCCAGTACATGCTGCACATGGCCGGTACAAGAGGGTCGGGCCAGTACATACTGCACGTGGCCGTACAAGAGGGTCGGTCGGGTTCGAATTAAAATCGACCATAGTCAACCTTTGCAATTATCTTTTGAAAGATACTTTTAAAATAGATAAAAATGAGTCTTTGCCACAAACTCAAATTGTCTAATCACCATATTTTTGCAATTTGTAAACTTTTTTTATATTTCAAACTTAGATTATTTAATCTAATAGAATTAACAGTTTAAAATATCAAAGGTCTACGCGATTGGGTTGAAAAGATATAGATAATAAAAATCCGAATTTATGGCAAAGACTCAAAATGTTATATATTTAAAAAAAAATTAATCTTCTACCAAAAACGACACACTTTCTTTTTAATTTATGTGTATTAAATAAAATTATTTTTTCTATAATTTTCCCCATGGGATATAACCTTCTTTATTTAACATAACCTTTGCTACTTTATTCCTACAGACAAAGATAAAATTGATGCTGCGAACAAATATGCGCACCGGAGGATTTTATCAACGCGCGTATCAAACTCCCGACTGCTGCTGTGCATATTATTTTTCATGCAATTCAAATGGAATATTTTCAAACAAATTGAATGAATCTCCTTGAATTCAGGAATGCAGAACTGATTATTCACATTTTTGACTTTAATTTCANCTATCCTAACTACTCACTAGTCTAGGTAATCTATCCTAACTACTCACTAGTCTAGGTAATCTATCCTAACTACTCACTAGTCTAGGTAATCTATCCTAACTACTCACTAGTCTAGGTAATCTATCCTAACTACTCACTAGTCTAGGTAATCTATCCTAACTACTCACTAGTCTAGGTAATCTATCCTAACTACTCACTAGTCTAGGTAATCTATCCTAACTACTCACTAGTCTAGGTAATCTATCCTAACTACTCACTAGTCTAGGTAATCTATCCTAACTACTCACTAGTCTAGGTAATCTATCCTAACTACTCACTAGTCTAGGTAATCTATCCTAACTACTCACTAGTCTAGGTAATCTATCCTAACTACTCACTAGTCTAGGTAATCTATCCTAACTACTTACTAGTCTAGGTAATCTATCCTAACTACTCAC